TTCTAGAAAGTATTTCTTCAATAATATTTTTTTTAGCTATCAGTAGGTAAGCTTTCTTCAATACTCTTAGAAAATATATTACATTTTATGATATGAATAACAATTGATAAAATGAGTAGAACCTGATTCATCGAAATATATATAGATAACTATAAGAATAACGATACCAATAGCAACAGCAATTTGACGTAATGTTGTAACATAATGGCACCATGTTAGCGTGCTGTAATTCCAAGTTGAGAGTTAAGTTAAGAAAAATGGAGTTAATCTCGACATTACACACACGGCAAAAGATTTTGTTGTATATTGCCAACGTAATATAACCTAAAAACTTAGCTAATAATGTTTTATTGAAGTTCCATGCGTCTGGAATTGAATACGCTTTAAAAACAATTACACATGACATCAAAACCTTTAGATAGATATTTCATCAAATAGATATTTTCATACCCTTTGCTGTTATATGGTTGGGTTGCTTGTTTGTGTCCTTCACAATATACCCGGTGACACTCATTGCAGGTGTTGCAAATACTTACAGATAGAGAACGGTTAACGCTTAATAGCTAGCAGCTCAATGTGTGTGGTGCAACAATGAAAGATTACGATGAGACTGCTGATGTGATTATTATAATTTATAATGTATTATTGAGCTAAGTTACTCAGGAGACACAGTTACATGTATAATTGAACCCACAGAACAACTATGTTCTGTGATTGAACCTTAAATGTTTTAGTAACTACATAATACTATTTCTTTTATAAATAGATATGTAGCGTATATGAAATATAAAAAATTACAGAATAATTCCGACAACTATGCTATAGTGCCTGATGATGTTATGGTATTGCAAATTGATAAGTCGTAACAAGTGGATAATGACATAATCTATACGACTGGACGTCCTAGCATTTCATGTCACAAGTACTGTGAGTCACTCTAATACATTAACTTTAAAAAATACTATTACATAAATTTATCACAAAAAAACATAAATCGTATATACGTACGATTTTCAATTACGGCTTTACGTAGAACCATATGTTTCTCTGAAACCTGTGTAAACAACTTAGCTATTGAAATATTATCTTTAAAGTGAACGTTGTACGTTATATAATGATTTTTTCTCGTTCACATCAGCGCTCTATACGCGTTATACATCAAAGATAGATGCTGATGGTGACGGAGTGACGGCGGTCGACGGGTTGCGGGCGGTGTAACGAGTGGCAATCACTACTTCTCAGAATCCTACTTGTTTTCGCATCAGGTGCACTCATGCCATACATATTGATATATAACACCTTACCCGATTTATGTACGCTAAAAGTTTTCAAGCAATATACGTCAATGCGAATCACACAGCGCGGGCTTCGCAATCTTCTTTTCAAAATTTTAAATATGGCTTTTATAATTTTAAATGCATTTTGCCTCGCCTCAGCCACTCCAGCTAGTCCGATGCCTACGATTTCTTACAGCGGGCGGAGGCTGCTCTCCCTACACGCCTCCGGCTCTATAAAAACACTCTAGGAGTAGGACAGACTCGTACTAGGTGGAGTCGGGGGAATCAATTGAACATTGATTGACATAAGTTGAACCTAACCTATTTTATTTGTTATCTGCCCTAATAGGTACTGTGAAAACATAACAAATTAAATACTAATTAATAATTTATAAATGGCGTGAGTTTTACGTTTAGTTCCACAAGCCGGGTAAAGACGGTAAACACTACACATTTTAATTTTAATAGCTCGTAATAAAAATAATGGTGTAATTAAATATGTATAAACTGTTAAATATATGTGTGCATAAAAACTATTGAAATCAGTATAAAATATAATTATTATCTTAAATTTTATATAAAATAAAATGTTACCGAACGTATGACAACTTAACCGTAGGTAAAACGAATAGTTAAATAAAAGAAAATCTCAAAACTCAGCATTTTAAAACTTTGCTCGTGTGCTTATAATAATGTAACCTTTCTGTAAAAAAAAAATCAACCCCACAACTCGACGGACGTCAATGGAAAGCTGAGCCTTTCTTTCTAGGGTCCTCCGGCTACGGGTACCCGAGACTTTTAGTCGGTTCGAGTCCGACATAACCACCCCACCCCACCCGTGTGTGGTATCTGAGGGGATTTCCGCATGCAAAAAAAAAGTGTTTGCCAGTGTACTCCCAGATTACAATAGTTTTTTGACCCATTACAATCTATAAAATATAGTTAACATAAAAATTTGACTACCTTTCGGGAAAAGGGCGTGATGAATATATATATATTTATATGTAGTCGGAATTCGATTAAAGGTATTCCAAATTGGAATGTGTTAATAATAGAATATCTATCTGTATTGCATTACATTCTAGTTAGATTACGGAATCAGCACAGTCATGCCGCCTACGGTAGAAAAAATATTGATAAATAAATTATTGGCTTTTAATAAGAGTTTATTGAATGAGTGCTAGATTGTTTCGATAGATACAAAAACGATGATATTACATCGAATTCAATATAGTTATTTGTTTCTCTAGAACATAAACCCTTTAAAAAAAAAGTTGAACCGACTTCAAACAACACCGACAAAGAGCAATAAAAATTAAAAAATAATTACAAATTTAAGTAAAAAACTATAATAAGTACCCTCAATGTAACAGGTAACATTATAATACCAATAGTCCCTTCTAGTCTGTTTGAAGTCGGTCTTTTGTGTTTTGGAAGTCGGTTAAAAAGGTACATACACTTAAGCCCCCTTTAATTTAGTTGACTTTTAGAATTCTTGGCAGTTATGCCCTTTCTAGCTTAACGTTTTATGATATTATAATTATGTATGAATTATAGTTTTAAAAAAACTAATAAACACACTTTTGTGTTTCGTGAGTGTTTGTGATTGTTACAAATTTACTTTAGATTTTACACGTAAGGGTAAATTTCACTTCTAGTTTTCTCCTTCAGGTAACTATTTGAAGAAAAAATATTTATTTGCTTTAAATTTTCTGATGAAGAATGTTTTATATTATTGCCACATTTTGTATTGTAAACAGTTTCAATGTGTTGCCAAAGGATAATACTTAACACAAATATTTTGACGAACAGTAAGAACCTCGCAGTTCAATATGACGGTGATATAAATAATTGGTTTCTCTAATTAATCTAGAACCGAATTATACAAAACCAATTTACAATAATAAAAATATGCAAGTAATACATTTTACTGTGTAGTCATTTGTAATAATAAAATATTTTTCAGACAAATAACATGCTTTTTAGGAGATCAAGAAGATATTAAAATAACATACCTACCATGTGAAAAGTTTGTTTGCAATATTGAGATAATTAATAAAAAAAGATTTCTTAGTGGAACAATATAAATAAATATAGTACCTATATAGTTAAACAAGATTAGCTTTGATAATATTTTAAAATGTTGCTAACTTTACCAAAAGAAATAATGTAAGTAAGTTAAAAGTGATGATAACATAATATAACGAGGAGGGCTCTTTCAGGACAACCCACAAATAATGTTTTTGCATAAGATTAGCTAATGATGTTTTATCGATCATGAGTAATTCTACGCTCATTTTTGATATCTGTCAATGTCTTGTTTGTTAATTTTGTTTAATATTATGCAATACTTTTGTAATCATGGTAAGAAAGAATTTGGGATATAAAAAGGGTAACTGATATTTACGTAGGTATAACTTCACTAAGTAATTGTAATCTAAAAATAAAATCTAACATGCTCAACAATTTACACGACAAGCCGTACCTATGATAGCAGACAATTTAATCAAGGGTTACAACAATACACACCCCTGGTTCTGTTTAGTTTCCGTGAAATTTCGTTGACGTCACATTCAAGTCGTTATGATTTATTCCTAGTATTTAGGATTATCAACTTATTCTGTGACTATGTGTGGGTTGGACATTCAACGATTTATCTTTTCTCACGACATTGTCATTAATATTTTGTGAACGCCATAGTGTCGCTATCGCTATACGGTGAGCCAGCGGCAGGGGGCAATGCCCATTGTATCACCAGACGATTACCAATTATTTTTGCGCTTACAATGGGCAAAAATTCCAAGAAGTTTTATACTTATCGCCATTGCTAGCGAACACCTGGCATTATCTCTAAAATATTTGTTTTATATTATATAATAAATGCTTGTACCTACTTTTTCCTTTCCTGTTTTTGTGTGATAAATTTCTTACACAAATAAATTTAATAAGCTTATTGAAAGGCGGCCACAGATCTCAATTTTATAAGTTCTAAATACAAAAACATAATTTTCGTCGAAATTATTGATATGTTCTCTTTGCGGCGAATATAACTGGAAGTATACCTTTTTGTACAGTTAATCCTTTATTAATGAAACAGCGTGCACATTTTTGTTCGCATTGGAAATTTAGCGACGATCGTAAAGGCGACTTCGAGTTTTGCAACGAAATAAAAATTAGTGACAGTTTGGTGTGATTAAAAAGAACTGTGTATGTTATTATGTTGCTCAATATTCCGTAAGAACTATCTAAGGAATTGACTTTTAAGCGCAAGTTAACAATCTTAGATAGTCTATTTATAAGTAACCCTTGATACAGACAGTTCTGTCAAAATGACACAAGGTGTCAGATGTGCCTTGTTTTATTCGTGTATTTTCCTAAAGCATGCATTCAGCTCTTTTATGTTAGGTAGAGAACTAGCCATTGCGAGTAGTTTATAATTTTTATAAGTGACAGGCGTGTTTTTGGTCTCCTTAAAGAAATCAGTTCGAACTCCACAATTGAGTAGGGCACAGCATATTTTTGCTCCCTCCACCGCACAGAAGAGCTTGGATCGTCAGCGATAATAGTGCTTTTCTAGTGGCGTATAGGGATGCCAATGAGTAGTGTTAACTATTTGGATTGTACTTTTCATTAAATAGTTAGACTGACCTATATAAAAGTGGGATGGTTCTACTGAATAGATAAATCAAAGTATACGGAAGCAAATTGTTATCTGTCACTTACCATTCAATACTTCGGTATCCTTTGACACAGCAGTGAATACTTTTGAATTTGTCTTCAAAGCCATATTCATTTGGTACAGGTTCCTTGGCAAATTGCATCCATGACGAATTTGTAGTGAAGGTATTTACAGAGCAATAGCTGGCCCCATGTGCACCGGACATGCCGGCCATGGCCAGCAGCAAAACTAACCCTCTCCATAAACACATTTTCAATTATTGTTGCATCCTGAGAAAAAGAAAAAAAACATTTAATTTTCCTTCTATTCTATTAAAAAATTACCAGTACACCTACACACACATACAATATAGACTACAATCACTCTACAATACGGCATAATTATAGTAATGCTCGCCAAAAATCAGGGCTTACTTTTGTAGAGCTTTAAAAGAGAGTTAGAGAAAGCGTTTTCATTTTTACCTAGAGATGTTTGGGATAGTCTGGAAAAGCACTGAACGGATATAAATGCGATTTTTTAAATGTACAATTGAAAGAAACGCCGTGCCAGGGTTACTATGTTGTGTTCTATAAGATGCATGATGTTTACAGCCATCGAATTTGTAGATGCAATTATAGACAGAGCTAGTGCCCCGTCTTTGAGTGTTTTCTGACTGCTTCACTGGGTTTAACCATAGTATGTTCAGGTGAACAAAGTCATTGTATTTCAATTGGACCTAACTTGATACCCACATTCAAAAGTTTCCAACTGTACGTTACAGTAAGTATTGTTTACAATATGTACGTGACCGTGGGAAAAAGGTTAAAAATAAAGTCTTCATCCTGTTGACGTATAACCGTGTTGTGAAAACTTTTTATAAGCTTATTGAGTTGTAAGGTCTATATGTAATTATAATTAATTAACACATCCATTTAATCTTCAAGATATAAGAATAGAACTAATAGGTAACTATTTGTGTTCTCGTAACGAGTTTGGAGGCATTGCCTGATCACAGATAGAATATTGAAGACTTTAAAGTACATATACAGTACCGTTTTCATTTCTTGAATGTGCAGTGTAAGGCAAACTTGGCAATTTCCCGACTTAAATAACATTTTTATTCCCAGAACTCTGTAGCGAACAGTCTATCAAAACGCAAATGTAGAAAGGCATTGAAGTTTAGTGCAAGAAATCTAGAGCATTAACGTCAAAAGCCGCACCTTGACAAGTTGATAGACTGTGGGAATCTGTAGTAATATAGGCACAACCAACAACAGCGCCTTTGAATATACTATAAAACTCTTCATATCTCTCTCACTCTTTATAACTCTTCATACGTAGGGAAATTAGACTTCCCTTTAATATTCGAAATAAAGACGAATGAATTCGATGCTGTGACAGCGCTGTAGCGTCGAATTTCAAACGAACTTAATTTGAAGTTGTGGCAGCATTACGCAAGGCTGTTTCCTTAGAGAATAGCACTGCAGATCGATTGGAAGGTAATCTACCCACGTAAAAACTAAACTTTACTTTCACCTAAAGGCTAATCACTAAATTACTACTACATATTTGTTTTGTATTCTGGTCCCGGAATAAATGACCGGAATAAATATTGGTAATTGATAGTAAAATCATAGTTATATTAAAAAAAAAATATAGTTACACTTACTATCACTAAACTTGGGTGTAAGAGTAATTTCACTCTATTGCTTATTTTAATAGACTGATACAACGTAAAAATAACTGCAAACTACAAAGATAGGTAGTACATATAGTGACATTTGTGTTCAAGATCATCATAAAATCTGTTTCCACACAGTTTTATATGGCTATTAAAAATACACTCTTTTACACGTATTTAAGTTCATAACATAGTTTAGTCGTATTCCTTGTTTCAATAATTGCCTTGTCCAATATCAGCCAATCAAATCTTCGGTCATCTCAAACTTAGCTGATAGTCAGAATATTAATTAGGAAGCTACAATTGTGGAAACCCAGTTTTGTTCTTAACCCAAGTTTATACTAAAATGCAGGTTTGCATGGCATTACTAAAATTTACTATAATTTCTTCATTAAGAATATCATCGTTACTCAATTTCCCTGGCATTTACTATATGATATTTAATTAAAAATCAATGTAATTAGCTTAGTGTTTAATTGCAAGATAGTAAGTAATATTATAATGTAAACACGTCTCGAGGAATTCTTGTTTTTGAAGACAACTAACACTCGGTTTATTATGCAGTATGTTTCAATGTCTTTTGAATTCATGACGTTATATTTGATTGACTTGAGTATGAAACAAAGCAAATAATAATTGGTATTATCCAATTAGTACCGACACAAATTTGTATATACTAAGATATGGATAAACTTTCACTGAATGGCTACTCTCCTAAGAAACCGCGCCGGCAAGAGTAACATTTTACATAATTTCCTTAGCGAAAACGAGTTTTCTTCACTTCTGAAAATTATAAAAAAACGAAGTACAGAAGAACGGCTTAGTGGTTTAATCGGTACCTCGTTGCTTTCTTCTGCGTTGAGTGTTGTCGGTTCGATCCCCACATGGAACAACACTTTGTGTGATCCACAAATTGTTGTTCTGAGTCTGGTTGATTTGTGTCCGTTTCATGTTTCTCTAAAGTCCCCAGTGACACAGAATATATTTCTAGTGCGGGAGTTGTCTTTTTATAAATAGAAATAGTACCTACATATTATTAGTTAGGTAATTGCACAAATAGCTAAATATACAAATTTAGGAATACCTTATCTAACAAGCAAGCTGAAAGGCACGTAAAAACCTTACGTAAATTCTTGGAAAAATAAAACAAACACGGGCAAACGTAAGTCATAACTCGGCCTAACTGTTTACTCAGGGTTTCTCGAAATTTTAGGTAGCATAAGTACAAATTTCAATATTCAGTAATTTGCTAGACGACTGTCGTCATTCAAATTTCAAAACAGGGGCGAAAGTATAAACAATGCGAATGCAGTACACAATTAGGAGATAAAAAAAAACAATAGTCTTATGGATTTTTAAATGGGTGTTTTTTCGTACACGCTAGCAGGTACACATTTTTATACGTTTGTCTCAGTATGTACCGTAATATTTTTGTATTCATTAAACTAAACAATTATGTTACAAAGGCAACTTGTAGACAATAACATGTCAAAAGGTTTCGCTTCTGAACTAAGAGTGAATTTACAAATACAAAATAAATTTTAGTAATAAATGGAATCCATTGAATACATGACTAAATAAAAAGAAAAGAATACCATGTACAAGCTATATTCTATGAATTGGTTGTTGCGCAATTGATCGGTCCCTAGCTTAACGGTTCTCAGAAAAGCAATATTTAGTAGCATTGCAGTCACAAGCCTTTTGGTATATGACAGCGAATATTCGAATAAAACCTATTTGATTAAAGTAAATTCAATAAAAAAAAATGTCCATCACAGACCACTTTAATTAGAATTATGCACCTAGTACGTTCGCTATCGTTGCTGGAGTTTTAGACGGTTAATAATTTGATGCAACCAAGGTTACAGGGTTCTGATGTATGTTTATTTCTAATTGTATCAATATTTATAACAAAACGACTATGATTCGTTAAGAATGAACGACACATGAAGAACTTCTGGACTGCCACTTAAAATACATATGTATACTTATTGTTACCTACTACTAACAATTACAGCCTAAACATTTGAGAAGAATTATTTGCTTAGCTCTTAGTTATTTTACTAGATAATTTGTACGATTTGCAGAACTAGAATCTATATACATGATAATTTAACTTAGGCGTTGGCATTTCCATACTTTAGCCTTGGAAAGCCACCCAAGATACGGTACTTACAAAATACAATACTGCACGTAAGAAAACGCACATAGAGCTGAATAATATGAGATTACGAGATTTCTCGCAAGCCTCATGCTATAATATGAATGGATATGAATATGTTAACTAGATGCTTTCTTGAATGTTTTTATGTTGTACAACATAAATTACCACGTTAATAAGCCTACGCAAAACCGACATAACCACCCACCGGTGGACTCGAAACGACCAAAAACCGCACGTCTTCTCGGGTACCATTTGCCAGAGAACCAGGTGTACCCTAGGAAGGAAATCCCTGATACCCCGAGACGTATCTCGGGCGATCTACGGCGTGTAGATGACCCCCTCCTGTGTGGGAACCCCTATGTCACCTTATGTGCTTCCAATAGGGCGCGCGCGATCCGCAAGGGTGACAGATGGCCTCTCCTACCACCCTCAGGCCTGCGCTTATGGAGGACAGAAGTCGTTCTGCAACCTCCGGCACCTAAGTCGTCTGCGGTACGTGGCCCTTTCCCGGGCCAGGCGGGCCGGGAGGGTTCTAAGCCTCTCCCGGTCCCGCTACGCCATCTCCTTTGCAAGCATAACTTGCTCTCAGAAGGAGACGACTCTCGCTCTACATATTACTAAATTTCACGAATTTTCAAACGTTAATATACTTCATGCACTGTAACTATTTATTTTACAGATTACTTACCTAGAAAAGGATTGGCATCGCCAAGTACAGAAGTGGGAATATCATAACTCAATCCAATATCGACAGAATTCAGTAGGTGCACAGTTGACATACATATACTCAGGTATTAAAATGTGCAATAGTTGCACACGACTTGTTCTTGTAATACAAGGACTGTAAGCTTGTTCTGCGGTGAGGCGAGTGATTTCTGCAATTACCGACAGGCGGTACACATATCTGACGGCAATTTGCCGCTCCTCCCGCTAGCTCTGGTGATCGGCTTCTCGGAAACGCACTTGCATCAACTTGTGCCCGGTTAGAGCGATTAACGCACTAATTACCGCGCGCAGAACCGCCTTCCTACACCGCGTACCACGACGTACACCACTCTGGTAACATTGTTCGTACCGCGCAAAAACAATCATGTTGTTTTAATTAACTTGTCATTTAACTGCTTAAGTTGATGTTTAGCTTTTAAATATTTTTTATAATATTCAGCTTTCAATAATGAATTGGTACTTTTGTAACACTTTAATTTATAAAGTGAGAACTTTATGGTACAGATAATATAGAATACCTAAGGTTCAAATAGGTATTATAGGTACATGCAAATAGGTAGGTCTAATTCTTTGTTTCTTAAATTTCTCTCAGAAAAACACTATAAAAAATGGGTCTGGGAATCGAACCCAAGGCCTCATGGACTGCAGTTGCGTACCATACTACACTACTAAGGCAGCGCTTTTCAAATTCCATATGAATGAAGTCACAGGTACCGGGTGGTATTACAATGAGTGTCTTTTTACATTGTATACCATCTGCTACTGTTTAATAATAAATAAATTCTAGTGATGGGATAACTTGTAATTCATAAAAGGGCATTAGATTAAATGAGTAGTTGCTTAAGGTTGGAACAAATCTAGAATATTAAAATAAATTAATCATGTATACATTAAAAAAAAAATACAGTCGAATTGAGAACCTCCTCCTTTTTTTGAAGTCGGTTAAAAATATATTTAGTTGTCAATAAAGAAAGTAACTTATTAAATTTATGTATATGTGAAAGAATGTATATTTTTTTAATGTACTGCTCAAAGACATCATGTTGTTTTAATTACCTTGCCATTTTAAGATTGTGTATTATGGGATTATCTCATGTCTTTTTGTTTGGCAAATTTAGAGTTTTCACTATATTAAATAGCATTACTTAAATCAATTCATATAATATCGTAATCTGTATCTTAACAAAGGACACAAAGAAATGAGAGGTGTTTATATGACTATCCACACTAATATATAGTTAATGTATAGATGATACATTAATAAGGATAGTCATTAAAACATTTTTAAATTTAAAAGTATCATTAATGTAACTTTAGAATTTATCAGAAAAAAGAAATCATTTTCAAAAAGGAAACTAAGGTACTGCAAAAGCCATTTATCCCCATGTTGAGCAGCAATTAATAAGTTTCAATTAACAAACTTAAAGGAACACTCAGTATTCATATTAAGTCACCACTAGTGTCAAATAATAAACACTCTCACAGAGCAAAATTAACTCTTCGTGTAGATATCATCATCATAATCAACAGCCTTCAATGGTCGCCTTCTGGACATAGGCCCCTCCTTAAAAAGAAGGTTTTGGCCAACTGTACCAGACGGGTTGGTATAGGGTTTATGTCAAGTTTTCCTTCTCTTGCAGTGCTGTTGTCTTGCATAGTGAAGTGCAGTGCTCTCTTAGTTTACTGTTACAACACCCACGGGATGAATAGGGGTGGTACCACTCCGTATTCTTAATCGGTCACCACACAGAAAGTGTATAGATATGAACATTTGAAATAAATTGATTGAGCGCAAAGTTAACAAAGACACGACACACATAGTCATGAACCATATTAGAAAATAGCAAGTGAAAGTATTTTATTAGGAAAATTCACGCAAAACAGTCAACACCACAATCATAACATACGATCTCTTTTATTTTCGTATGAATGAAAGCAAATCTATGATTAAGACTATTAGGGTTTACACGGTTGTGTACAGTTTTTTTTTCACAGATTTTTTATATTCTAAATCCTTAGCACATAATAAAAGTGCATTACTCACCGAAATTGCTCGATGACAGTCCAACTTTCCAAGAATTGAAAATACCGCAAACTGTATGACAGTCTGTATTTGACACAGTTCTGTTTGAATCACAACACTCATTCAAATGTTCGAAAATTTTACTTATTATTTTAAAGCATTTCACTATAATAATACATAAAAATCGGTAGCTTCTTTTCTTTATGAAATAAAATTCACAAATACCACCGGCTCTGACGGCTAAACGCATGCAACTAGCTGGAATCTGTGACACTGACAATCGAGGCCGCCATTGTTAATGACTTTGAAAGCTGTCACGGCTGTCAAATGACTACGCTACGTTTCGTTATAGGCTAGCAATATTTACAATTTCACATAGATGTTTAAACGTTTAGTCTAAGTTTGATCATTAACGTAATTATTTGATAAAAATAATATATAAAACACCTATGCATAATCTGAAGAAGAAAACCGAAAACCTGGCAAAGGCCTCCTTGTTGTTTTTTTTTTAGACTCAAGTACACACAATTACACGTTAAACTTATAATTTTGAACCCACGATGCACAAAGGAGAAGAGGGGTAATAATCACCCTTCATATTTTGGTGAAAGATTATGAACTTATACTATATTTAATTAATCATAAAAATTAAGACATGAACATTTTTGATTTTTGATTTGTTTAAAGTTTTTTATAATGTCATGTAAGTACATGTGTTTTAGGATAAGGATCATAATCAGGACAAGCAAATAAATCGGTTAAAGCTAATCAACAACATCAGAATCTAGATGATCGACTTCATTTGACATTGTCACTTACTTAATTCCTAGGATTCATATTTGGACACATTCTTAAGACATTAATAATATTTTTCAAGATTTCTATTTTAACCATTAATTTTGTAATTTTCTTTCACAAAAATTCCAAATCTCGAAAATAGTATAAATTGTGACAGCTAATCAAAAATGGTCGCGTTTAGAGATCTACACTCGTAAATGATATCAAACACTAAAGATCAACCGAGCTGCCAAGGGCAACTTTATTTTCAACAACATCGATCATTCTGTTTGCCATCGCTAGCTACCACCAGGCATGGGATTGCAGTATTCACGTGAGTGTGGCCTTTTAAGTCCACCATCCCTCAGGACGAGCTTAACAGAAGTTACATACCTCATCAACATCATCATCAACAGCCTTTAATAGTCCACTGCTGGACATAGGCCTCTCCTTAGAAAGGAGATTTTGGCCTACTACATACTACTTACATACCTACTTGTAAAAAAAACTACTTAATGTTAAAAAATTTGGCAAGGTTTATTTATAGTACCTGGATGACCGAGCTTTGCTTGGTACTTTTTTTTGGTATTTTTTCTATAAATGAAACCTAGCTATCTAGCTAGGTTTCATTTATAGAAAATTTAATGGGTGATTAATCACCCCCAAAACCCCCCGCAAACTAATTTTAATGAAAATCGTTGGAGCCGTTACCGAGATTCGGATTATATATATATACAAGAATTGCTCTTTTAAATAAATTAGATATCTAAAATATAACGTGATAAGTTGGTTGCAGTTTGCCGCAGCTGCACGATTATTTTGTTTGTATTTATATGAAATGGCTTCCATGCACCGCGGCAAAAAAATGAAAATCAACGATATCGGTCATGCATCACATAAAAAACCGAAAAAGTGTTCAGCACATATATTAATAGCCAAATGACTTGAACTCTTGAACATAATAGTTACCGACTTAACAGTTAAATTACTTTATTATTAACTAGCTTTTGCCCGCGGCTCCGACGACGTGTTTATATCGCGGTAAATAGTAGCCTATGTTACTCCCTAAAAATGTACTTTTTCATTGGTGAAAGGATATTTAAGGCTTCGCATGGGTGCAATGTAGATTATGTAGATAGTACTAATACTACTAAAATGGTGTCAATGTTGAAAAATTATTTATACTATTATTATGATAAAACTATACTACCTACAGGACATCTTTATATAAAATATTTAGTGGCCCGCTCCGCTCCTGCCGGCCGCTGCCACCCGGGACAGACGTACGGCTAGACGTGCCTGGACAACGGCCTCTTTGCCCCCGCACTTTAAATCTCTGATATCTACTAAGATATCAACATTAATGATATGCTGGAAGCGGCAATTTTTAATCACTCTTTCTATTGGTGAAAACCGCATTAAAACCCGTTGAGAAGTTCGAAAGACAAGAAAAAAACGACTTCATTCGATGCTATGTATAGATTAATTAGTTCTTCTTAGTTTGAAACTATATGGTGTTGTGTGTTAGACCTCCGACAATATTATTATTGAATTATTAATATTATTTAATGTAGGGTTTGTCTTTGTTATTATTATTTTAAACAGTGCGTCATAACAAAGAAGAAATTTTTCTTTCCTAGTTTAATTTACCATCATACTCTAACAACTTGCTACCGTTGCGCCACCATAAACTGACGCTTTTTGACGGACACTTTTTGGGGTCCGTACCTTAAAAGGAAAAAGGAACCCATATAAGATCACTTTGTTGTCAGTTTATTTGTCTGTCAAGACCCTTTATCTCGGGAAAGCGTGGAGGCATAGAGTTGAAATTAAAACTATACTCAGGTATACAGTTGTAAAACAACCAAACTCCTATGTTCGCTAAAAAGACAAGCTAATAAGATATGGCCGTTTAGGCGTATATTTCGACAAACTTAAAAGAAACGCATATTTCGACACTCTCAAGGTAATCAAAATTCATTCATCATACTTCCCGTTCACCTTTAACTCTGAAATTTGGCAAGTAACATCGTCTTATACTATAAGTACAAGAAAAAATCTGAAAACTATAAATTTGTAAATAAATCATAAAGTAAGTAATCATTATGCTTGTGCCGAGTTTAATTTTTCCACTTATCGACTATGGTGATGTGTGTTATCTCGACTTGAATACAGATATGCTCAATAAATTAGACCGACTTCTCAACAATTGCATTCGATTCATTTTCACGCAACTGTCATGGTTACCTGTAAGACTGCGCCGCAATTCGGGGGCTCTGATTGTGTTACACTCTCTTCTCCACCTACCTACTTAAAATCTCACTACCAATATCTCTGCCTTAATCATGACGGAACTCTTCACTCTTCCAATAATCTTCTCTTTCTTTGTCCTTAACATACAGTTCCATCCATACATTCCAAGGTCCATTTCTTTTTTCCATTTCATTTTTATTTTTTCCCTGTTCAAGCTGCAATCCTGAGGAACACACTCCCACTAGAAATCAGGATGTCCACTAACCGATACACTTTTAAGCTTATAAAAGGTACGAAAGCTCTATAGAGACTTGTTGACGGAGTCATCAGATAAAACCTTAAGAGTAAATTTATTATCTTCGTATCTATACTAATATTATAAAGCTGAAGAGTTTGTTTGTTTGTTTGTTTGTTTGAACGCGCTAATCTCAGGAACTACTGGTCCGATTTGAAAAATTCTTTCAGTGTTAGATAGCCCATTTATCGAGGAAGGCTATAGGCTATATATCATCACGCTAAGACCAATAGGAGCGGAGCACCAATGAAGAATGTTTCAAAAACGGAGAAAATTTATTACTATTGAGAGACGCAGACGAAGTTGCGCGGGTCAGCTAGTTATATATATATTATATTTTGATATTTATAATGATATTTATATGTATAAACTATATGAATGTATACCTAGTACTTATATATCTGTAGGATTTTTTCTCTTCTGCCTTTATAATATTTCTTCATTCAGTCTTATGTTTACCTGTCCTAAATATACACCTGCCACACACAGTTTCGCAACACCCAAAGGTTTGAGTGGACGAAAATGCCTGAGGCATTAAGTCCGCCTTATGCAATATGTTTGCAGGAAAGCTCAATAAATATATACATAAATAACATATTGTCCTACTATTGGTCCGTGTTTTGACGGATTAAGAATACAGTGTGTTACCACCCCTATTCATCGAATGGGTGTCGTAAGAGCCGACTAAAGGAAAAAATTACACAGAACAACAGCATTGCAGAGAGAAGGAAAACTTGACACAATCCCTTTTTTTTTTTTTTTTTTTTAACGTGTGGAAATCCCCTCGGACCGTCACCCCTCCGGGGTTTGCGGCGGGGTGGTGTGTCGGACTCGGACCGACTAAAACCACACGGTGTGCCACTCTGCGCCTGTAACAGGAGGGATCCGGGAACAGCTGTTGTTAAGACATCCGGACCCCTCCTAGCACCAGCCCGCTCCTGGTGCGGGCTCCGTCTCAATATATTTTCCTCTCTTTAGGCGACGTCCGGCACACGCGGAAGCCGCCCCCTCGCGGCTGGCCAAACTAATGCGGGTGGAGGGGAAACCCACCCCGTCCACCCGCGGCCACACTCAGGGCGGCATGAGGCTGTGATAGGCGGGCCTCCGCCGCCCGGTTCGCCGGCGGCGGATCGGGTCCGAGTGGAGGTCGTCCTCCCGGGCCCTCTCCGCCGCCTCCTTCCGCGAGATTACTACCTCGCAGAAGGTTGCGACCGCGGTAAAACAACTGTCGCTACCGGCCATGGAGCGTACTACGGCCGGTAGCGAGAGATCCACTCCGATGACTGCAGTGAGGGCCCGGCGCTGCGCCGCCCATGCGGGGCAGACCGCCAGCGTGTGCTGGGCCGAGTCCTCACTGCAGTGCCTCCTCGCAGTGGTAGCAGGCGGGACTCAGTTCCCTCCTAGCGACCGAGTGCAGGTACTTTCCGAAGCAACCGTGCCCGGAAAGCACCTGCGTCAGCCGGAAGGAAAGGGTCCCGTGCTGCCGCCCTGCCCACTCGGCGATGACCGGCTGGAGAGCCTCCACGGCGGCGAAGCCAGCGCGTGGAGTCTCCAGCCGGCACGACCAACGAGCCATCGTGGCTCGGCGAGCGGCTTCGCGCCACTCGCGCACATCCTCGGGCGGAGGGCGAAATCCGCTCTCCGCCCGGGAGTCAGCCACTCGCCGATAAACTTCGGCGAGCACTTCCGCCTCCAAATCCCACGGGGGAGTTCCGGCCAACGCGCATGCCACCTCCGTCGAAACGGTGCGTTAACCGCGTATGGCTCTGACCGCCATTACCCTCTGAGGGAGCCAGAGGCGTACCCTATTCTGGGCGGTCAGAGCCGCCGCCCACACCGGTGCACCGTACAGTGCCATTGACCGGACAACCCCCGTGTACAGCCGTCTTGTCGCGACGCTGGGTCCACCCATATTGGGCAAAAGTCGCCCTAGGGCAGACGCAGCGCCGACCAGCTTTGGAGCAAGCTGTCGGAAGTGCTCGTCGAAGAGCCACCTCCCGTCGAGGATCAGGCCCAGATATTTCATCTGGGCCCGAACCGGTACGAGGACCGAGTTGACCACGATTGAGGCGCCAGGGGGTGGACCACGACGGGGCCCATGAAATAACAGGGCCTCCGTCTTATCTAGGGCCACCCGTAAGCCCAGCGCCTCAATGCGCCCGACCACCAGGGAGACTCCCCCTGTGGCCAGGCGCGCCGCCTCTTGGAAGTTTGCCCCCCGGGCTGTCACCAGGGTATCGTCTGCATAACAGATTACACCCAGCCCGGGGGGGAAATCCGGGGGGGGACATGGGCCGACACCTCAGATTACCTTCTCGGTCCTCGTACACGACGGTACGCTCCTCTAAATAGTCTGCCACTAGCCGCCTCAGGTACTTTGGCACCCCATGATAGTGGAGTTCTTTCCTGATGCAGCTGAATGGCAGACTATTGAATGCGTTGGCGATGTCTAATGACACCGCCAACAGCACGCCGCCACAGCTCACGGCCTCTTCGGTCACGGCCCTCAGGCGCAACACGGCGTCGACTGTCGAACGCCCCGCCCGAAAACCAAATTGGGCGTCCGACAGATCGGGGCCCACCTCGCAGAGGTGCTGGACGATGCGGGCAGAAAGAACCCTCTCAAACAATTTGCCCGCCTCGTCCAGCAGCACGATGGGCCTATAGGCCGCGACCGAATCGGCAGGCCGTCCCGGCTTCCTCAATAGGACCAGCTTCCCGCTCTTCCAGCACTCAGGGAAGCGTCCCGACGCCAAGCTAGCGTCGAACACCTCCCCGAGGCGGTCTGCCATGTGGTTGAGGGCCAGGGCCAGCACTCGGGCCGGTACCACGTCTGGCCCAGGGGCGGTGTTCTTGGAACGGATCCGTAGAACAGCCGCCCCTACCTCCGAATCCCGGACGGGCGGAACATTATCCTCCCCGTGCTCCCCGTCGTCTCCGGCCAAGGAGGCCATCGCCGGGGGAGTGTGTTCCGCTCGTTGTGGGAAAAGGCCCTCAACCACTTCTCGCAGGAAGCTGGGCTGGAGAGTCTCCGTAAGGGGGGGGCCCGACGCGCGGAGCTTTTGTCGCACCGCGCGGTAAGGGCGACCCCAGGGGTCACGATTAAGACCCTCCAGCATCTCCTGTCTCTTTTCTTCTGTGGCGCGGCTAATGGCCAGCTTCAGAGTTTTCCGCGCCCGTCGGTACTCCTCATGAAGCCGGTCCTCCTCACCGTCTCCACGGTGACGCCGCCGACTGCGCGTGTAGGACCTCCGGGCACGTGTACAGGCCGCACGGAGGTCCGCCAGCTCCTGGGACCACCAGTAGACCTCCTTCCTTGGAGGCCGACGACCTCGAATGCGGGGCATGGCCGCATCGCATACATGCGTAATCGCATCGCGAAAGCGACCAGCCCCCGCGTCGACCTCCACACAATCCCTATACCAACCCGTCTGGCTAGCGTGGTATAGTAGGCCAAAACCTCCTTTCTAAGGAGAGGCTTATGTCCAGCAGTGGACTGTTAAAGGCTATTGAAGTGATAAGTAACTTACAAAAAGTGTCCGTTTTGTTGCTGCAAGGACTATTGTATAACAGAAAAGTAATGAACAGTCAATAAATTTTTCACCTTATGCCCATGTGACGGTAGCAAAGAGGCCAAGCCACATATTTTGACTAAGGTGTAGAGTTTGTGTAGTTAGGGCTTCAAGAGTTAGGTCGTGTAGTGTTAGAAACTTGGGTCTACATGAGATCTGATAACTATTTGACAGTGCAAGCCATATGGTCTCATTTTGGCAACATTTTCCATGGAAATGTTTCTGGTAGGATCAAACTCATCCCTACAAGACGCGAGTGCAGTGCAGTTAACAACAAGACCCGATCAGTTTCAAACGGTGAACTGTCTTTTGAACACAAAAAAAAAAACATTTATATAGTATAATTTTTATTCATTAAATTTTCACGTGTTATTTCTTTTTGCCCTTTCCGGGTTGTTTTTTTGTCTGTCGTAGATACTTGAATTGTCCAAGAGCCTTTCGCACTAGGACACCTCGCCACCAAGCTTGTATACGTATAGCGGATAGCCGTTGATGTTCTTCTCGTGCTAGGCGAGCGGCACGCTCTCGTTTAAAATTCAGCCAACCACGCATTTCACCTTCATGCAAGTCGTACTGAAACAATAAACTTTGTTTTGAGTAGGCCAATTTCACTGTACAAAATATATCGATTGCTTCTTCTCATTTTCTTTTGGGATGAGTATAAAAAAGTTTGATGACGTATTACTCTGAGATATCACAATGACATGAAGGTCAAGGATCAGACTCTTATGTTGTATTACTATGAACAATATATACCTCTGCGGTTTTATATTTTGTCATTATAGCTTGTGTTAAGTATTTTCTCAATCCCCTGATGTAATCAATAATAAGAAGTCCAAAGATTGCTATATTTTTCACTACCATTATGGATATAGTCGATTACTATTAACGATGTCCAATTTGATAACCGGGATTTTAATTATTATTATTATTATATAATTTATTCTAATTTATTTCTTTTTTTTAAATTTTATTTGAAAAAACTTGTTCTTTTGCAAAGCGTGTTTATTGAGAATCTGGGCTCTTAGTTTTAAGATGCTTACCAACTTCTGTAACTCCATGCGCTTAACAGTTGCAAGTTTTAGTTCTTCACATTTCTTTTGAACTGTGATAGTCATTGCCACTGTATCGGTATCATAACGTTGGCGCCAATATTCCAAACATTCCTCACGTTCCTGGAAGAACATTTTAATCGTCAATATAAGTAATTTAACCTATGTGTCTAGAACGTCTATCACAAGTTATAATGGAAAAGAATCTTACAGTACTTTGATTTGTAATTCATAGGCGTGTAGCAATTCGGTGTGAACGCGATCTTCGTGGTCGTTACGCGGTTTTGGGGCACGGGGCTTATTGTGCTGTAATTCCAATGACTCGAAGCGGGCAAATAACCACTTCTCCGCATAACAAAACCGGGTGTTCGCATTTAAAAAGTCGTCCTGGAGCAGTAACATAGGCTATTTTAATTTAGAAATTGTATAGGCTTCATCTCTTGTAATACATCTTTTTTTATATAATAGGTTAGGTTGCACTGATGAGAAATAAGAAAGAAAATTAAAGCGAAAAATGGATGAAAACAATCTTTGCAGTATATCCTGTCAACGTTTTATCTCAATCGGTGAAGCACTTTATGAGTTTTTAGTGGTCCGAGGAATTGTTGAACTTTTCGCCATCGTTCCACACGGCAAAATTTTCATCCTCATCACCTGGATAGTTGGCGCTCTACTACTGTGCACTTTTCGAGACACTTTTTGTCCCCGCACAACCAATCTGTGGAACGGGTTATCGTTTGCGCTATTTCCGGACCGATACGACCTTCAAAACCTTCAAGAAAAGAGCGTACTCCTTCCTATAAGGCTCGCAACGCGTTAGTGACGCCTGAGTTGCAGACGTCCATGGGCGGCGATGGTCATTTTCCATCAGGTGACCCATCTGCTCGTCTGTCCCCTATTCCATAAAAAAAAGAACGCCACCGACAGCGCGTGAAATGGCCCAAAAAATATAAGATCTTTTTGTTAGATAAACGGGTTTAACAATAACAAATACAGCCAGGTCAGTGTCTGGTCAGTTATACAATGTTGCGTGCATATTCTCGTTAAAGCTATGTTAAATAAGGACATTTCGTGATCAGGACTTTCAGGACGCAGTGGGATGAATAAGTTTTTCTTCTTACTAAAGACTAGTAAAGACACTAAGGTATATAATACTGACAAAGGCCACCATAAAATGTAATTAGTTTATCTCATCATCAATTAGAAACGTTGATTATAAGACTGTGTTGCGTCTCACGAGACCTGGCTTTTTTAAATGGGACAAAACAAAGAGCGTACTCCTTACTAAAAGGCCGGTAACGCATTTGTGACTCCTGAGTTGCAGACGTTCATGGGTGGCGATGGTCACTTTCCATCAGGTGACCCGTCTGCTCGTCTGCCCCCTGTAATTATTTTAATTATGCTATTACACTTGTGTATCGAAGAATGAGTTGTTATAGGTAATGCAAACTTGCTGTTTTAATTTAAAAATTTACAATATTTTTTAATAAAATACAATTGCTGTCTTTAGCTTTAAGGTAGTCAGTAGATATTCTTTGACCTTTACAAGAGTACCTTGCATTTTATTTTCGTAGTAATAGGTACAAGCCTTGATCCTTGGGAAGAAGTCTAAAGAAAGGAAGACAGAGAGGTGATGGAGGGAGGGTGGGGACAGAGGTAGTGAACAGAGCTGTGTTGTTTTATAATATACGAACACTCATTTTGTCTCGAAGAACAGCTACTTTACAATCAGCATCTCGTAGATCCTTGTTCCATTGGTTTCTTTTTAGTTCCAATTCTAGCTGAATCCCTTCTTCGGTCCTACAATAAAAAGGTTTATTTAGGAAAACTACTGTATCTCATTACATAATAAACCCTTTTAAAAAAAAGTTGAACCGACTTCAAACAACACCGACAAAGAGCACTAAAAATTAAAAAATAATTACAAATCTAAGTAAAAAACTATAATAAGTACCCTCAATGTAACAGGTAACATTATAATACCAATAGTCCCTTCTAGTCTGTTTGAAGTCGGTGCCAAGCCAAATAGGTGCTTGATAGGCATGGTAGAATGTAGCGCAGCAGCTGCAACAGTCTTCATATTGCGTAAAACATGTTGAACGAGCTAAAGTGGACGCACATCTCCAATTATATTATTATTTTGAATGCTTTAATAAGTTGTTGATAAGTTTGCGCACGTAATTCATCTGGTTGGTCTTTATTCATTAACAAAATCTTCGATGTTTTCGATATTAAAGCATTCAAAATAATAATAGGGTTTCCCTCGATTTCTCTAGGATCCCATCATCAGATCCTGAATTGGTGGTAATGGGACCAATTCGGGAGCATACCCTTTCGATTACAAAAATAATTTTGAAAATCAGTCCACAATTGTCGCGTAACAAACATACATAAAAAAAAATACAGACGAATTGAGAACCTCCTCTTTTTCGTTCTGGAAGTCGGTTAAAAAACGGTGCAATTGTGTGATGTTTTTAAGAATGAAATGTCATTGATTTCACGTCTGCAAAAATTCGTCAACATAGTTAGTAGTGGCTTTGATCGATAAGAAGATGCGGTCTCCTTGGTATGGGGTCAATATTCAGATCGCGACTTGGCCTATTTTATCTCAAAGGTCGAAGTTGTCAAATATAGAAACGATCTGCCCAATAGCAGTGATAGATTCTACAACATGTAACACTAGTCGTATCACTTAAGCTGGCTGGCATGACCTTACACCCAGAAAAAAAACCTATTTACTTTTAAACTTTCGTTTTCATTGAAATCTTTATATAGTATGAAATGAAGTCACTTCCCGTTCTTGTATGCTTAGATCTTTCAAACTATGGAACGAATTTTCATCAATATAGTGAGTGATTCAAGAGGAAGGTTTATATGTAAAACACATACATACTAAAGTAGAGAAATTCGAATTTTCGAAGAATTTCAAATATTTGGAATGCGATATCATATATAATTATATATGTACGGGAATTATTATACTAGCTGGATCAGGCAGTGTTAGCCTGTGACACTCTAACCTGGTTGAAACCTCAGGCAAAAGGCTGAAATGCACTGAAAATATTGATGACCTAATCACTTACATTTTAAGTTTCTCGTTAGAATGCTTCAGCGCCACCAGGTCACTGTCTTTTTCTTTTAGAACTTCGATTGTCTTTTTGATTGCATCCCATCTTCCAGACTCTATAACTTGTATAAGGGTTTCCCGAATTACGTCCTCTACCAAATCTCTGAAAACACCAAGAAATATTATCGTTATATTATGTGGTATGATATTATATTTGATTTAGGGTGGTATAAGAATAAACAACATTAAAAAAATAAATGCTGGTGTGAAAATATAAAATTATGTGAAAATATAATTATTTAAGTGCCATTTTCTCGCAATATGCCATTAAATTCGTGTGCAATCACAGTGCAAGTGCAAAACTATGCTAATAAATCCTTATCGGTCATTGATAAGGAGGATTAGTTGGAAATCGAATCTTGATCATTTAAAGTTAGATCTCTATTGTGTTTTATAATATTTCATGATGTTTTACAAAAAATATAATTTATTTGCTTTTAAATCCGTTATCTACTACTATTTAACGGATTTAGAACATAGAGCAACATAGGCTCCGTTGTACCGTGTTGAAAAGAACTCTTGAATCTTTAAACGATATCGTACACTGGGTGCAACAACGTCATAAGTAACAAATGACGTTTTTTTCAGGAGATCGATTTTAAACTTGTTGTTTGATTAAAGTTAAGTATTTATAATCCTATTATATATCGATGATCTACATATTCTGTATTTTAAAAGTTGTTTCAGAAATAAAATAAAAATGTAGGTGGCACATATTTATTGTTTTTAATCACGATACCTACATTTATGACGTTGTTGCGCAGAAAGTTGAATTAAAAGTGGAACTAAACAAAACATTAACACTCGAAACTTATAAATAACACTTCCAATTAACTTTATTTATGAGTAAAAATAATGTACATTATGAATAAAATAAATGGCATATAGAAATCTAAAAATTATGATAAATTTCTTAAACTTAAGTATCCGTAATCAGACCTTTTTGAGGAATTAACAGCCTAGAAATAAAATTGTAAAAAAACAATCAAAGGTTGTTTTTACCATAACATGTAGTATGTGGATGTTATCGTAAAAAAACCTGAATGGTTTTGTCGTTGTACTTAGTATTTTATTACTCTAACATTTAATAATCATAGCTTTGATTAAAAACAATCTTAAAAATCAGAATAACCAAACTAAAGCTGGTTATAAAATGTTCATAATAGCGAGGCACAATATTTTTTCAACCAATTCTCTTGTTTTTTTCTATCACTTATCGGTATATTAGACGTATAAGCAGGTTTAATTTAATCAGGTTTTAATCAGTATTATTAAAAGTATCTACTTGAAAAAGTATATTTAAAACCTGCCTAACCTAGATTTATATCGTTCTTTGGTCGGGTAGTATATTTTCGCAATGTCCTGGTTTGCTCGATCATGTTTACCTCATTCCAACTATCAATCTTGTACATAGTATTTATACTAAATAGTCCATAAATATCACAGCACTTCATAAATCTAATAAGTTTAATATCAGTTTAATATCAGTTTAATATCAGTTTAATATCATTAATTAATTTTGTAATTTTTCAATTTTGCTTTCTCTTCGACCGATGCATTTTTATAGGCTTTAAAATCATCGCAGGTATATTTTTTTGATAATGATAATAAAAAATCCAATATTGCATTCTGTGTTAAAAATTCGAGCATAAGCATCATAACACGCTTCAGGTTTCTTTTCTTACTGACGTTTTGTCTTGTAATTTCTATGCATTTCTGCTATAGTTAAATCTCCCTCTACGAATAGTCTACTAGTATTTGCTCTTAAATAATGGCTCTCTATCTTTGGGATCGAGTTAATGTGATCTCTCACAGATTGCTATATTTTATCCTCTAATCTGATTTCTTTGCCGTGTCTTCCTCTCCCATCATTTTTCATAATATTGCCGCCTTCATCTCCATGCTTGCATTCTATAACTGTACGTAACATTCTCTCAGTGATACCCAAAGTATTCGTAAAAATAATTTGCAAACTCTTATTTCACTTCCTTCATTATAAAATTATTCCTTTTATTTTACGTTACGATATCAGTCTCACACAAGATCCCAGATAATCTCTTTGTAAGTCGCCTAGCTGCTAATAAGCATCAAATAGCTTAGTTCTTTATCTGAACACGTCGACTCCATTATTCTAACCAGATTTTTTCAACGTTTTGGCAATATTTTACAACTTTCATGGTCGATAGTCTGGCCTCTTGATTAATATTTAGAGGGTTTATCGTTTCGTGGTTTATAGTTTCTGATGACAAAGAACTTTCTGAGCTGCTACTAATATCCGAGCTAGTTGATGGTTTAGGCACGTATTGCCCATTATCATCAGTTCCTGAAAAGTCATGTCCAGATGAGTTTTTACCGTATAAAACACTAATAGGCTAAAATAAGTTTTAAGAAATTAATTAAATTACGTAAAATTTTTACAATAACACAAAGCAAATAAATATAAATTATTCTGAATTAGAAAATCTTATACCTTAGGTACCTGAGTTTGAGTATCACGGATGTTTCAATTTTCGACGGCATATCTAACGGAGTATTTTGTTGAATCACCAACATGAGGGCTTAAAAAGGAAGGAGAACTCGGATCTGTCGATAATGTTAAATGAGAAATGGACGAAGAATTAAGAATAAAATAGATCTGGATACCTCATTAATATATGATGGCAATGGTTTATAGATTATATTTAGTACATTTCTGAGACAATAATGACATAATTGTAATAAAGGACAGTAACACTTGCTGCTTGTAATAGAAAATAGAACCACAAAGTCAGAACTGTATACTTATGTCATTCTTACCGCAAAATTGTATGAAATATTTGGCATAATTACCTTTATGACGTTGTTGTTCCTGTACCACACTGTCAGCGGGCAACTGACCAATTAGAACGTTCTCGCAATAGCGTTTACAAAAACCCGTCAAAATCACAACGACATTTCAATGGGTCATTTTAAGAGTTACATTTTTGATATTGCTGCACCGGGTCAAGACGCATGTTTGACATCATTTGTGATCAAGAACTCAGTTTACCAATTTTAGCATTTATGGCGTTGTTGCACACGGTGTGCGATATGCAATTAATACCATGCAGGATAGTGTTTTGATAATTCAATAATCGTCGCCCAATATAAACAATAATGTTTAATGATCTGGCTCACAAAGAAATCCATAAGTAATAAGGCAGCCCTAAATACGATGTGATTTATTTGTACCTATAAGGATTCATGCGAAGAGGCTAATGACGTGGTCTAGTTTCTACTCATGTTTCTATCAACTATTCAAACATAAAAAGCAGTTACCTACAGTGACACAACTATACTAATATAATTAAACATATGGTATGGGACACTTTTTTAAGATATCGATGTGTTCTTTAAAACTAGTGTTTACAGTTTTCTTTTTCTATAATATTTTTGGCGGGTTTTAAGGTAGAAATAAAAACTTTCGTGTGGTCCTTTCGGGGTGCTCAAACAGCTTTAACATTTTTTTTAAATATTTAACAGATCGTTATTTTTCACCTTTAGTGACTTATTGTTACAAATATTTCGTATTTTCATGCATTATAATACATGAAGAATATTCTTCTTACTCACTCCTTTCTAAATAAATATGACGCATTTAACATTACATTTGGAATGCTTAAATTTTTGAACAATATGTTTTTGGTATATAAAGTAGTAGGTAAAATAGTATAGTAAACTATAGGGGTCTATTATATGTTCTGACTTGTCATAGTGCAAAAGTCTATTGATGATTGTATAAATTATGCTGGTCAATAAATAAAGCAAGACAATACTTTAAAAAACGACTGCCAGGCGATCTCTAGTATATTCAAATAAATAATATAGCCTTTGTTACTCAGTGATGCATGATAATATAGCATTGATAAAGAAATCCCTCCCGTGCCCAATCTATAAATCTTTGTGTTATGGTTTAGGTACTCGTAGTTGATGTAGACGTAGAATATAGAACAGTTAAACCTTATTATTCTATTTACATGGACTGATATGAGTGACAAAATATACATTGATATAAAAGAAATATATTCTTGCATCTTAATTTACTTTCAATGGACTACGAGGCCAAACTAGTTAGACTTATTTGAGACATTCTAGGCTAGTACGTTTTCATTCATTTTAAGTGGTTTTAAGAAAAACATTGCTCGCCTTAGATAAATAAATAGTACTTATTACATTAAGTGGTTATGTCAAACTGGCCCTGAGAAGACTATTTGCATACTGGTAGGTAAATAGTTTGGTTTGTATTTTAATTCGTTTCAATGCATTTATCTCAAGAACTTGAGAGTGCTCACAATCTCTAGAGTCGACTCTGTAGAATCCGAGAATCGAAACTTGTCTGCGCCGTTTTGGAACTGCAAGTTAAAGCTTCCTATTCTTCTAAGAATTTTGGGATTTTCTTGGTCTGCTTTCCTCCATGTACTCCGATATACTTATACTAAGACCAACCTTAGGATGGATCAAGATGTTTCGGAGAGAAATGTTTCGTAGTAATAAATATTTCAAGAACTTAATGAAGTGACACCGTTAATCTTTTAGCAACTTCTGAGGCTTCTAGGGCAGTTATTTTTATAGTCTAAGGAATATTTGTTTAGTAGTTTAGTTAGTTCTGGAAATTTCGACCTTCAGAACCAACCCCGTAGACGGCCGGAGACCAAAGTGGAAAATGAAGAATTAAAGGCTATTGTGGAAGCGGATCTATCACAAAGCACTTCAGAGATAGCTGCAGGCTTCGGAGTAAGTGATAAAACTGTATTAATCCACTTGAAGCAAATCGGGCAAGAAAAAAAACTTGAACAACCGGTACCTCATGAATTGAGTGACTTTGCTCAACCGACACAATAATGAAGGGATTTTAAACCGAATTATTACTTGTGATGCAAAGTGGATACTGTACGATAGTCGGAAGCGCTCGTCACAATGGCTGAACCCTGGAGACCCACCTAAATTCTGAACTAAACGAAAATTGATTCAGAAAAAGTTACTTGTGAGTGTTTGGTGGATTAGCGCCGGTGTCGTTCACTACAGCTTTCTAAAATCTGGCCAAACGATTACGGCAGATATCTATCAAACCATGAAGGAAAAACTAGCTGCTAAAACCGAGATTGGTCAATCGCTCTAGGCCACTGCTGCTTCACGACCCACGACACACAAGACCACACACTGCACGACAAACAACCACTAAGTTAGATGAGCTACAATTGGATTGTCTGCGACATCCACCGTACTTCCCGGACGTTGCTCCAACAGATTACCTACAAAAAAAAATCAACCCCGATGCGGCAGTCCAAACAGCCTTCAAAGAGTTTCTTGATTCTCGCCCCCGTGGTTTTTTTAGTAAAGGGATCAATGAACTACCTATGAGATGACAAAAGTGCATAGATAACAACGGTGCATACTTTGATTAATTAAATATATTTTACAAAAAAAAATTGTCTTTATATTCCACCCGTACATAACGCCAATTTCATATGTAAGGACCTAATATTAAGTGACATTGTTCCCATCGGCAACTGAATAATTGTCAATATACTCGTATTATACTTTTAAGCGCCTTTATTAATTTGTTTCTTGGAATATAGACAATGTAAACAGACACGTCGCTACTTGTTCCTAACAATACGTGGAGGCACGAAGTAAGATAATAATGGCAAAAACCGTATTTATGTATAAGCATGTAGAAGGAAGTTAATTACACGTTTAAACTTGTTAAAATACTTTTGAGTAATTGTAGATAAAGGTTTCCATTAGAGATGCCACGAATAGTAATTTGACCGAATACCGAATATTCGGCGAGTGTCTTGGCCGAAGCGACAACACTGAAACAGTAAAAGGATTAGCAAACGCAAAACAATATCCTAACCTAACAGAATTTGCTAAGATTTATTTTTCATCTCCCGGAAGCAATATACCTTGAGAGGCTATTTTCCGAAGCAGGTATAATTTATCAGGAAAAGTGCGATCGTTTCCTATCAACAAATGCAAAAAAAAACTGTTTTAACTATTAATATGATAAGTTATTGGTAAAATAACGTGGCCAGCGTGGTATAGTATAGGCCAAAACCTCCTTCTTGAGGAGAGGCCTATGTCCAGCAGTGGACCATTAAAGGCTGTTGATGAAGCCACCATAAAATGTATGTTTATTATAAGACTCCGTTGCGTCTCACGAGACCTGGCTTTTTTAAATGGGACAAAACCATGGCTTATAATATATTACATGGGCTGAAAAGTCCCGAGCCTACCACCTACATGGCGCTAGTTTTATTGCAGTCACCTTTTTTTCAGTTAATACTAACCTTCAAAAGACAGCTGTTAGAATTTCATGATATTCTATTCATTAGTTTGTGAGTTATTGTGCTAAGAGTGACGCTACTTTTGTTATTTTCAAAACAATGGATCAAAAACAATTTCGTGTTTTAATTTTACAATGCTTCTTGATGGGAAAAAATACCGATCAAGCGAAGCAATGGCTTGAAAAGTGTTATGGGGACAACACTCCATCAGAAACAACAATAAAACGTTGGTTTGCTAACTTCAAACGTGGTCGTAGAGACACCGATGATGCAGAACGTAGTGGACGTAAAAATGAGGCGGAGAAAACATAAAAAAGATCCACAAAATCGTTTTTATTTATCGAAAAGTGAAGTTGCGTGAGTTAGCTGACATCGTAAAGATATCAAAAGAACGTGTTGGCTTTATATTGCATGAGCATTTGACTATGAGAAAGCTCTGTTCAAAGTGGGTGCCGCGTTTACTCACTGTTGACCAAAAACGAGAACGTGTTGATGATTCTGAGCAGTGTTTGGCCATGTTTAAACGTAACAAACCGAAATTTTTGCGTCGATATGTGACAATGGATGAAACATGGATCCATCACTTCACTCCGGAATCAAAACGATCGTCATCTGAGTGGACAGTAACTGGTGAAACTCGTCCAAAGCGCCCGAAAGCACAAAAATCGGCTGGAAAGGTTATGGCCTCGGTATTTTGGGATGTGCGTGGTGTAATATTCATCGACTATCTTGAGAAAGGAAATACCATTAACAGTGAATATTATATAGCGTTATTGGAGCGTTTGAAAGTCGAAATTGCAAAGAAACGACTGCATATGGCTAAGAAATTTTTTTTGTTTCATCAAGACAACGCACCGTCAATCAAAACAATGGCAAAACTACATGAATTGAACTTCGAATTGCTCCCACATCCACCGTATTCGCCAGATTTGGCTCCCAGCGACTATTGGCTGTTCGCAGACCTGAAAAAAATGCTCGCCAGTAAAAAATTTCGCACGAATGAAGAGGTTATCGCTGAAACTGAGGCCTATTTTGAGGCAAAAGATAAATCGTTCTACAAAAGTGGTATTGTTAGAGCGGTGCTGGAATGATTGCGTTGCTCTTGATGGAGATTACGTTGATGATTAAAGCTAATTTTGAACCAAAAAAACTGTATTTTCTTTGTTAGGCCCGGGACTTTTCAGCCCATGTGTTACATATGACGTAATTTAAGCTTACATCATGAAACGCGAAAAATAATCTTTCTTTTTCATTTGGATTTTGATATTACAATGTAATATACAGCCTAAGGAAAAAATTAATATACAGCATTTCGCATTTACGTACTGAAATAACAAGTCTTAATTAGAAGCACTTTAATGTCATCTATCTATTTTTGCATAAACTCACCGGTCCTCTCTTAACTTAGCATACTGTAGCCTTTCAATCTTGGTCGTAGGACGCCATTCTCGGATTCGTAATTTACTACTGCCCTCTGTAAAAATACAAGAAAATGCGAAAAGATGGCGCTGTACAATATTTTTCAGTTAGTGCTCTAAAATTGTTGAACACTGCATAAAATATATTTGTGTAAACCATGTTTAAGTAGGCATAGTTGTGCATTAAATTACCATTTTAACCCACGAAGCTCTAATAACTTTGAACTAATTTTAAACGTGGTTCGGATAAATGACTGGGAGCGGAGCGAGTTCCCGCCAAGAATCGTAGCCGTAGAATCTAGTTCTCGAAACCAATTTGGACATTTCAGTCATTAAGTATATAAAGAAAATAAAGATTTATAATAGTATTAGTATCACTTTAGCAATATAAGGGATTTAAAGAAAGAAAAGTTAGAAAACTTGACCGGGAAATGAGATATTGTATGACATTGAGACATTTAAAATTGATCATATTTAGTTTTTGATTTGAAACAATTGAATTTTTGATTATATAGGTACCTACTTCGATCTTACCTAAAATCCTCATTTGCAGTAAAACAACCTCGAACGACAACGCGAACAGCAGAGCATCCATTTTGCTAATCCTGCTAAAAATGAAAATCATATTTTAATGTATTCGTAGATTTGTGGTATCTATTTAAATTTTAATCCTCATCCTCTTATATAAACTGTTTTATATAAAAAACCTGCATAAAATTTTTGATTTTACTTGAAATATTCTAGTAGGTCCAACTCCAATTACACGACGAATATGCCTATGAGTACAGTACGTAGGTACGTGACTCTTCTATCTATTACAGTCCTTTTTGAGACTTACGATGTCTTACCGTAGCTCCCTCTCTCTATGCATTTTTTCTTACTTTGCTACACAACGAAAAACGAGTACACTCACTCAGAGAGGGTTGGTATTAAAGAAATCAATCCAAACACCTTGCAATGTTACACTCAGCGCCGTCTTTGATGATATTAGCAGTAGTGAGCGTGATTATGTGTTAAAATTTTATTATGGACGATCCGTGACAGATGGGAATTATCGCATTTATTTTTAAAAATAATGAGTTTAAAAGGGTAACAATTGTAACATAATAATTGTACATAATATTATATGTGCCAAATATGAATATAAATTAGCATCAAACGTGGTGACCATAGTGTGGCTATGCGTCGCCAGGTCAACAGCCGGTCTGACCCTCCGCATTAGAAATCTGTTTAAATTACGGGGAGGGCACTTAATTTTTAACAGAAATTAGCATTCTCGACTCTAATAGATATTTCTCAAACGGGTCACTGAATCTAAAAAACCTTAAGATAGATTCCTGAACTGGTTAGTTATATAATGGTCAGGTCAGAGCAATGAATCAGCGTTTAAAGATACGAATACAAACAGTTGAATGCACGTTTACTTCAGTCGTGCTTTGAAAATGTCAACTGTTAGTGATGATGTAGTAAAATATGTAGTTACCTTATCCAATGTTAGACGCTCTGATATTGTTTCATCACTCATCAATTATTTTGTTTAAAAAGCCAGTAATAACATTGAAGTACAAGAAAAAGTGTAGTAAAATAATAAATACCTACAAAATGGTAATATGATGGATGAGTTAAATTATTCTTTCTGATTGAGGAATCCGATTGTAAAATATTGAGCTTTGGTGTTGTATTTTAGATAAGTGTAAAAAAACACGGCATTACTAAAACTATCATAGCTGAGTAAGCTTTACAAGTTAATAAGTAAAATAAACGTATCAAATGTACACGGAAAAGAAAAAAATAAACTTTTCTACAATGGTTTTTGGAAAGTAATGGCAAATAGTTATCAATATTGCGTGTATTACGACACATACTTGGGTATTATTTCATTTATGAACAAATACTTTAAATGGCGAAATATTCCCCTTGTCTTTAAACCTTTACAACAACTAGGGTAGATGGATGTTCGTGACACTGAGTTTACCTTCCGAGGGCCCTTATGCAGAACCACAATAGAATCTTACCTACTCACTGATAAATTCACTTATCATATGAACTTCGGCATATAGTTCGGCACCTCATGAGGATAGATAAAATAATATAATGCTTATGTCATACTTTGCCCTGAGTCTGAATAAATCCTTGAGGTAGAAAGAGAGTGTGGTTTGTATGTTTAGGACTAAGTACGTGCTCTCAACTTTTATTTTGATTACGTAGTTGTAGCACTTCTTTTATATTTTGTAATTCATACGACAAAGTGTTTGTGTATACACATCATGAGCTAACAGTGTGGCGCTAAAGGAGCAAAATTAAATGTGTTAGAAAAATGTATGTATAGGCAGATAGTTATTGACATCCGTACTCTTTTTATACATTAACATTGAAATATCTGTTTAGAATGGTTAGTTTATTATTGGAAATTCACAACTTTTTTTTATTCAACCGCCTGAAAAATATGGATTTCCAGTATGCACTTTATGATGTAGGTACGTAAATACTTTACGTTTACGTAGTCTATTCTATGATCAAAAATTATTTTCACAAATCTACTTCCCTGCCAAATTAAGTAGTACTTCAATACCTTAGCCTTAAGACATAATATTTATTATAATAACATCTTACACGGTAGGGTTATCATGTCCAATCTTATTTCAACGGAGCGAGTTTTAATGAAGGGGCGGAAGTAATGTCCGCCACAATATTGTTCGTTCTCGTCAATCGTTCGCCACAATAAAATATCAGAACCTACCGGTACAGTCTAATGAACTCATTAAATGCCATCCATTTCCTCACATTAGGATTTGCAGCTGCTATAAATCCCAATGTGAGGAAATGAATGGCATTTATTTCTATAAGTATTTAACTTGCGTTATTCATGCATACTTCGGTTGACATACTAATAATATTTTCGTAGGACATTAGGTCTAGACAACGTGGTCAACGCCTACAGATTCCATAGCTTGTACTGTGTGGGTTCCAAAACAGAGATTAAAACAAATACATACATATTATACATAGAAACACCCAAATCGGATAAATTTCACCAATAAAAATATTGGCATTGGGCATCGTACCCGCTAACAACGACCTAATTTGAAACAATATTTAATTACATTGAAATAACACTTGACTTGGAACTTAAAATAATATGTTATTTAAATAAACAAATATACTTATAATGACAGTATTACTTTACTAAAACACACTGTCAATTACTTTAATTTGAACAAGAAGCACAATCTCCACCACTGACACTCAATTCGTCTTAAAATTAGGAAACTAAAATTTACCTCTCGTTGTGATCCATTCTATCGATAAATTTACACACAATAAATACGTCTGACAAACGTGAATTCTATTAATTGATTACTAATATGAACGATATTAAACTTATCGTGCGGTCTCATAGGAAAACAAATCAATAGCTGTTCACATCGCTTAGCAACCCCTATCGTGTGATCAATGCCAATGATATTCCAAAATATAACAACCAAAAGTGTCTTCAGTTTCTGACGTACCGTGAGATATCCCGAAGTATTTTCTAAACTGATTTAGATTATAATAAATTGCCTATTTCTTGAGAACGAGTTTTGCCGTATATCCTGAGACAGTTTCAAAATACATGAAACAAATGACCGTTAACTCTGGATAAAAGTAATCTGCACTGCAATTTAATTGCAGACAGTACTACCTGTACTTTTGATCAATGTTGCTGTTTATGTTGAGCACTAACATACTTTACATTATAAACCTGACAAAAGTGAATTTTGACCAATGCGATATTTGTTGGTTATCTTTATAGATAACTTAAAATTCTGTTCACTTTTTAACATGGGTATATTTATTCCAAGTTTTTTAAGGTTTCTTGTTATTATATCATTTTATCTGTAAATTACGGATACTTAAAGTATGATAAGTAAAAGTAATATAAAATAATTCTTTATTTCTTAGTTACCTGATGAACTTTTATAATCGATCATTTTAGTGATTTATCAAAAACTTCAAACAAATGACGATTCACCCTAAGATACCCGACGTCACAAGATGCCGTGATGCACTCATGACGGTTTCTGTTCTATTCTTTAAACCAGGACTATTACAGTCTACTTGTCATAATTATCTCGCGTTTTGTTAAGGTTATGCGATACAATATTCAATAAGCCCAAGTACATATTATTTTGCATCAGTGTCTCAGCGATATGACATAATATGCAAGCAGAATGATGACAATTTGTTCTTCAATTAATTAAGTAGTAGGTACGGAGAATGTGAATTAAGTAATCATCTTTATATGGTAGCATCTGTAAGCTTTCCGCATGAGATCATCAGCTACGGATGTAATAAATCCATCTTAAAGGTATCAAATACGGAATATATTATATTTATTAGAAACCTAATGAAGGAGATGCAATAACAATTCTAGCCTGAATTGCAACCGATTTGAGAATTTCCTGTCTAAAGAAAAAGAGAACTATATCTTCATGTATTAAATACTTGTAGTATATTTAAAAAAAATATGGCAAATTTAATTTATTTCATTAGGAGAAATAAGTAGGAATAAAAGCAAATGACGAAGCAACGATAACCGAATTAGGACAGTGCTTAGATACTTTCCCAATAATATTTGGAACGGAATTTACACTTTTTAAGTGTTACATTGTGTTTTGTTTTATAAATGTTGCTGTCTTAAACAATTCAACATCAAAATTCATTTTCTTAACTTTGACGGACCTCATTGGCTTTAAGCTGAAAATAACACAATATTCAACACGTTCAACATTATTATTTTTCTATTGGCTTTCTGTTAATAGTTTTTTTATTCACAGTAGAATACACACATATGAAGTAGAATAATACTAGTTCTTTATGATAGAATTCCCAAACATCTAATTCAGCTGGTAGGTAGAAGATTTTTTTTTTATTTAATATATATATATTTCTCCCATGAACAACCTGGGTGGGTTTAGTTGTTTTTTACGGAATAGGGACCCAACGAGCAGACGGGTCACCTGATGGAAAGCGACTACCGCCGCCCATTAACGCTAATTATCTTCCAGCAAATAAAACATTTTCAATATTTACTCTGTACGATATCGCTTATAGTTTTCAGTTAATTTCAGATGTGTGACGTCAACATGTTGTAAAAGTAATATGATGAGGTGGCAAGCTTATGTAATTAACCGCCAGCATGGTAACACCGCGTTAGGCGCATTTATTTTCCCGTAAATTTAACTCCCAAAGATTATGCTGATGAGACAGGGTTTTAACCAGATATTAAAAATTGAAAGGGGTTTAGAGCTAGTTAAAATATATTTAATTTTAAAATGAAAAGTATTGTGTTTTTAACGATTGAACGCTTGTTTTGAACGATTTGAAAAGTATTTGTACCAGCAAAGCTTCGGCATTAATAGTTCTTTACCATAGAAATCGCAATAATAAGACACTAGAAGTCGCATCTAGACGCTTGACCTTGTCGCCGCAATGATGTGTAGACGAACACAACTTACAGAAATTCACACCATTCGTGATTTATTATGCGCGAAGCGTCGGATGTGAATTTATATTGTTAAAATGATGTTGATGATGAATGACTGCAGTATAATGGGTTGTGAAAACACATCAATTCAACTAATAAAGGCATAACATTCCATCAGTAAGTTTATTTTTTACTAATAAATAATTATTTTTACCAATTTACATCTCGTTTAATCCGTTAATAAGATATCTGCTTTTGTAAACATTCATTTATTACTTTCCGTTATGTACAATTAACATTGCTGCTTTGGTTTATATTGCACGCGATGTTGACAAACTAGCCCAGCAATGTAATATGAATCATTAGATATCGTTGTTCGTTGCGTATGTTTATAATACGGCTGCAGACATCGGTCTCCAGTTAGTGATCTAATCGTTTATATCGATGTTAGTATAAAAGGATATTTTTCAGAAATATCTAGAAAGATAGAAAAGTGGCGTTTTTTAGAGCTACAGTTTCATTCAAGTCAGTTTTTTCTCTTACGATATATTTTTATTATATCTTTGAAGTTTACTTATTTTTATAGTTTATATATATATTCACAAACCGTTTCATGTTATTTGAGGAGTTGTCATTTGAATTAAAAAAATACACATTTTTGTACTCGTACATAATAACATACACAATACTGTACATTCATCTATAATAACATTACTTAGCTAATTATTTCACCTTCTAATACTATATATAATACACTTGCTAGTTGAAAGGTGTACTTTAACTTTCATAGCATTTTATATAAAGTTGAATATAGTTTGGCACATACTTTAGCATTTTATTTCATGAGTAACTTGTACGAGTAACCGATTACAGTCTAAATTGCTGTAGTGACAGTGAAGCGATTTGTATAAAGTCGTTTCGTTCAGCTTAGAACGTCTATTGAACGTGTCAAAAGTAATACTACGAGTCTCTTTTGTCTTAAATAACGTTAGCAACGACTCCCTTACTTCACCTTTTACAGCAAAAATAATCATAACAGTAATAAGAAGTACCAAGCAAAGCCAGATAAAGGTTTTCAAAAAAATATAATAATAATTAACAAGTCAGCTTGCAGTTGCATTTAATTGCGAATGCCCGACCGCTATTAATTTCTATCTTACAGTACTTTGAAAGTAAGCCCTTTGTTCACAGTAGCAATATTAATTCTGTGAAATTGGCTGTCGTTGTCCTCCTCCGGCACTAGGATATGTACAACTTCTGGGTATGTTTTTTAATATGATTAGCCTCTGTTAGATAATTTATTTCTATTTGACGTGTGTTAAATTGCCAGGGTTCACTGCTTAAACAATGCTACACAATGCTATACAATAATCCATGGTCGGAAGTCTAAGTATATATTAGATGCAGTAAGACTCCATTTTTTGTTATGTCGCGGATAGCTTAACTCTATGTAATCATAATCATAATCATCATATATATGGAAACCACGATCTGGATATCATCGGCAGCTTCCACAATGGTTGCACGCAGACTCTATGACAGGCTTTACAGCGCAGAGCTGAAATTGCATAAATTGAAATATTTTCTAATGCATCTCTTTAATGCAGTGATACCTGTTACAAAACTGCTGTTGTGAAAAACTCATGTAAACGATATTAATGTTTAGTTTAAAACATTCTGCATGATTTTCATATCGTTACAGTAGGGACGGCGACGCGGCAATATAGCTCTCTCACGATGCCGAAAATGTGTTGAAGAGTAATGAAATCACGTGGCTCTCGAGGCACCCGCTTTAAATTAAATCGTGTTAATTATCGCGCAGAGACGAGCCTCAGGGCACTTGCCTCACTTGTCGAGCTTTCCGCTCACGGTAAGTATCTACCGCGTTAAAATTTGTGATATCAAATATCAGTATCATATTTAATAAGATCTGAAAGTAGTGGGCACAAATAATCAATTTACAGTGAAGTCCACTTCTCTCAAGATTATCTCACATGCAAAAAATAACAACAACATAGGAACATGAAATTTCAGAAATTTTAAATGCTAAAAACTTTAAGGTCATTTGGCTTTCTCACAGGGAGGTATCTGGTTGAAAAGAAATTTTGTATTTTGTCTCTAAAGAGGAGAAAAAGTTGTTCCATTTTTTTTAAGTTAAAATTTTAAACATTTCAGTTTTTCATATTGTTTTTATTATTTAAGTCGTTATGCAGAGTAGGACACATTTCACAAAGTAAAAAAGATGAAAGCTAGAAAGTTCATTACAAACACAAAACATAAACTCTAAGCATGACACAATAATTTCAGTCGTCATATGAAGACTTAAGGTAAGTAACTATTAAAGGGTCGATTTTGATTAGACCACAATTTGATTTTCACTTTGTAAGCTACTGAAGCATAAAATATATTACTATGTAGCAAAAACTATAAACATGCCAGTATCGAAAATATTTTTAACCGACTTCAAGAAGAAGGAGGTTATCAATTCAGGTGTTTTTTTAATGTATGTTCGGGCATAACTATGTCATACATAGATTTTTAGAATTCCTTTTTTGTTCGAAAGGAGTTTATTCCGAAATGGTCTCATTTAAACTTCATATAGATCTGATGATGAGTTTGGGAGAGAGACAACGGAACTCTTCAAAAAAATTGACATCAAATCAACCGCGATTGCTGCTAGGTTGTAGTGCTCTTTCTTACATCAAATCAACCGCGATTGCTGCTAGGTTTTAGTGCTCTTTCTTAGTATTGTTTGAAGTCGGTTCAACTTTTTTTAAGATGGATTTTCTTGTTCAATTTACAATCGTTTATATTTCAATGTATTTCACTTTATAGAAATATGACCTGACAATTCTATCTGTAGCGTATAAGAGCAGTAACATATCGGCACACACAATATCAAAACATAACCTGTAACTTTATCTCGCCTTATTCTTAGACGTTTAAAATCGGAGATAAATAAGATTCAAAATGTCCCCAATTATGAAATTGATTGAGAGTAATATTATATTCGTGGTATGACGTAATTAACCATTATTATAATCTTACATGTAACCTGTACCGAATATATTGCCTGAATTGAAAATTGTCTTTACTTTCTTTGCGGTTCAATTCATTCGATATATAATAAATAATTGACTCTTTTATCTTACGATTATTACCATCTGCTGACTAAATGTATTATTTTCAATGGAGCCTCGTTTTATCACAAAATTCCAAAAAAAAAAAACTAATTAATGGTTGTCAAAGGGTAGAGGCGGCGTGAAAGTTGATTGAGCTTTTTTAGGCCAATTTCATCAGTCGAGTTAATTGGTAACACCATCCAAAAATTATGTAATGATTGCTCAGGTACCATAAATTCCCTTCTCGATAAAGCAACACATCCGCTGTACACGAATTTATTTTTACGCCTTTGGCATTAGCACGCGGATACAATATCAAAGACGGTTTGTGTTCACAGAAATAATCTTAGAATTTTATTGAAACATGTCAGCTACTAGATTAAAGGGTTGCAATATAATACATGAAAATAAAAGATTAATTAATAAGTTAACGTTTTTATTGAACGTAATTTATAATGTATGAACTATTACATCTTTCCTACAATTAATATACTATAAGAGATTGATTTGTAACATAAAAATAGATATACATTAACTACACTGTACAGATAAATTACGTAAAAACTAGTAGCAAACGTCTAATACGCTCACAAGTAGTAATAGGTGAAATAATTAGTTAATGTCATAATGAACGTCCGTAGATCTATTTATAATACTATCATATAAACTCTAGTCAATAGCGAACATTTGGCACGAATCAATAATATAAAACGAAAAATATCTATGTAGTAAACACGAACATACGTTGCCGTACTTGTTTATGTAATATTTTAATTAACAACAATTAACAAGCGTAGAAAAATACTATTATGGTAATTCAATAGAGATTTGGAAAAGCTGTTTTAACCACAAACAATGTATCACAACAATTTATTAGTGCATGTCGAGCTGGTTGACATACATAAGTACTTGACGGAAAAAAATTCAAGTCACAAATAAATACTTATATTAAGTTATTATCGAACAGAGTAACAATCTCATGATACATGTATCTGTTAAGAATGCGTTTCTACTAATTATCCTAAAAATAATAAACTTATGAGGAATACTGGGCAATTTATTAAAGAATCATGACAAAATTGGACGTAGGGTAGTAATTTATTTCGTATCTATACGAGAGGAAAGCAACTTGAAAATGTCAAGTACGGTCAAATTGGAAATCACTGGTATGATAAATGCTTAGGTATATCACTTTAAATCCAATAAATAAATATGTAGGTATATGAATAAACCTCTGTAATTAATTTTTATCCGAAAATTGATTTGAAGATTTTTATAACATTGATTGAGTTATAAATAGTGGTTGTAATTAAAGTAGCGTTGTTGTAACATCTTGGTTCCAGCCAGGCAGTGGGCACAGCTTGCAGGAAACTCAAAATAGTCTGTCGTAGAGGCTCTAGTTGTCGTAGCGGTTTGGAGCGGAGTTGGCCCAGAATCCTGAACAACACACATATTATTAAAGATACCAGAGTTATTATTAATATTTATTAGACATGTATTAATATACATTTTCTTTCTTTTTTCTTCAAAGTGAGCGTTAACAAAAATTGAACGACTATTGTTACTTTCTTCAATTAGGTTCCACTCATTAAAACTGAAATTTGTTTTGTTTTGTTAAAGGTGACGTCCAGAAAAACAAAAACTGTCTTAGATAAACTAATACCAACTACTTGGTATTCAAAGCAGCCCAGACCTTTGTGGCTGAAGGATTACACTGCTATTTCTAAGTAAACTATTGGTAACTTATGCACTAGTTAAGTGTTATATAAGCTGAGCACGTCTCGTGTCTGTATAATGTACGATGTTCAGTAGCCTTCATTCCAAGCGCTTTTGTAATCCAGGAAAATTACACTGACTTATTATGCTTAATGCTGACAAGATTTCGATTTTTTAAATAACAATATATCCAATTTGTTAGTAGAAGGTTGGTCAGCTGAAAAAATAGCATAATTTTACGTGAAACCTTATTGAGGAAATTAAAGCTAGGTTATATATGTACCAGAAATGAGTAGTAATAGCTTAAATAAGTAGACTGTAATTTGATTTCGAGTCTGGGTAGACTTAGATCCGAGATTATAGGTCAATTCCATTATTGTTCTTAATCATAAATATATTCAAATTTCCTGATTTTCAAATCGCCCAATTTTCATTAGCCAGTCATAGTAAAAGTAGTTAATCGAACTGAGATTGCACTTAACCACATTTAAGCGTTTTTGCTTTCCACTAATTAAAAAAAGAGAAATTATTACTTATTAACCGATTTAAAAAATTTTATTTTTTATTGTAGATTAACTTTTAACCTTCGCGTCATATGATGTTAATATTGTTCTGTATAAAAGGTATAAAATACCGCCTTTTGTAATTTTTGATATTAATGATTTTGGAATCGTTTTGGAATCGGTGTACTTTTTTAAAAGTGAGTTACCATGAAATATCCTGCAAATAAATAAAGATAATTGTATTTAGGGTGTACGAGTAGTTCACAAAAGTCTGTTACCTCGTTTTCCAACATTTTGCAAGAACAGTCGGTTGGCGACAGCCTGCCTTTGATTGGCCTCGCGCATCTGCTTACGGGCTACCTCGAGCAAAAGCCGCTGCCGTAGTACTTCCATGGGGTTGTTGATGGACAGCGATGGCATCTTGCGCTTCAGTCGCGCGCGCCCTTCGTGAACCACCGACAGACTCTGTACCATGAAATAGCAAATTAAATTTCAGAACTTACAAGCATCACGTATACCAGACTACGAGTATCCGCAAAATTGTTAGTTGGCGGGAGCTCCAGTTAATACTACCTACCTTATAATACCCTATCATAATACTTTATCAAACATTCACTTGATCTATTTCATGTAGTCTATTTATGTTCTAGGAAGATATACTGATTCAATATCCAGTGGCACTAGGATCGCTATAGTGAGTTTACTTTTTATATTTGCAATACTACAGCTAAAAGTTGTAAGTTTGCATGTTTCGCAATTGTATATTATTCTTGGCAGAAAAAGCATTTTCTGCATGTTGCTGTAAATTTTAGAAAGTTAAAATAATACCAAGAACAGAAGTACCACTACTGCCTTTATTATTTCGACGTTAGCGAAATATTCTTCATCTTTTTTAAACTCAAAACTCTTATTGAAACTAATTTCAAAAAAATGATTATATGAAATTTTCATGTTTCACTTACATTTTTTTTATATATCGGACATCTGACTCACAACGCAGAGAGACTAAGCAGAGTTTGTGCTATGAAAACTAGATTGACTAATAGAATACTAATACACTTTTGTACATACTACAAATTATGCATATAAATACTCAAACAAATATTTACAGATCATACAAACATTTGGTGCGACCCGGGAATAAAACCCGAGAATTCAGCACAGCAGTCGCATACGCTACCACTGCACCACCGAGGCAATAAATTTATCTCTGACATAAATAAACGTAAACAGGCAAGTTTTTAAATGTACATAAACTTCAATGGAACAGGTAAATAATTTCAAAACGATTTCGAGTATGCAGGTTTCCTCAGGATTTGTTGTTTAATTTCGATGGGTTACTAAGGACCGAACAAGGTGCGGTCGTAGCCTGAAATTTTTATAAATATGTCGAGAAAACTATACTTAATTGCACAATTCAAAACTTTACTACATACATTATAAAACAAATAGATGTATTCTATTTTTATTGGAAAATCGGGTGATAACTTTTAGGACATCTGGTATCATCTCTAGATGAATATTAAGAAGAGACAAATCTATCAGCCTCTGTTCTAACATGCTTGCTCGTAACCACATTATACACCATAGCGTAGAAAATGATCTCTCATGGCACCGCTTCTTTTTTTTATTTGGCGTGTACGATTGGGCTATTGTCCGCTGTGACCCCTGTGAATTTAAATCGAGATCGAGTATTGTAAATATTAAAGTTTATTAGGATGTTTAGAAATTAATAACTAGAATAGATTTGGTCGAAACTTTGCTAACCTATGAACTATACCCAAGATTTGCAATGAAGTACCTTTTTTTTTTTTTTTTTTTTTTTTTTTTCCGTGCGGAAATCCCCTCGGATACCACCTCTCGGTGGCATGTCGGACTCGAACCGACTAAAACCGCACGCCTTCGCCGGGTACTAATAGCCGGGGAACCAGGTATACCCTAGAAAGGAAGGCCCTGGTGCCCCGACATACCTCGGGTCATCTACAGACGAGTAGACGACCCCCGCCCCGTGTGGGAACCCCATGTTCCCTGTGCTCCCTGGAAGCGAGCGCGCTTCGCAACGCGCTCGCCGCCACCCCGGCCTGCTTCTGCTAGGGTGACAGATGGCCTCACCTGTCACCCCCAGGCCTGCGCTTATGGAGGACGGAGGTCGTTCTGCGACCTCCGGCGCCTGAGTGACCTGCGCTGCCTGGCCCGTGCCCGGGCCTGGCGGGCCGGGAGAGTTCTAAACCTCTCCCGGTCCCGCTCCGCCGTCTCCTTCGCGAGCATAACTTGCTCGCAGAAGGAGACGGCAGAGTTCCACGCACTCTCGCTCCGCACGATAGCCGCAATCAGGCTATCGAGCGAGATGCAATGAAGTACCTGTACTAGAATAGAGATTTGGAAGGAGTTAACTCTCGGGATAAGCTAGACACAATATAAATTCTAAAATTATTTTACATTAGCATAAATATACTACTTTCATACATATAGGGAATGTGTTATCGTCAATATAACAGAAATTATATCATAAATAATATTAGGTATATCAGAATATATATTATAGAATAAGAATATATATTATATCAGAGCTATATAGATAGAGCTAATTAACAAAGAAATGATAAATAAAGAACAGGAAATGATAAATCAAGAACAAGAAATTCGTTTCTAAATAGAAAAATGTGCGGCTTTCAGTTAGTGATAACAGTGTTCGGGACCATGATAGAAAAAGCTTTAAATATAAACTGTAAATGTGTACCAATGTCGAAGAATTGTAAATAAAAGATGACGAATTCGTAGTGCCTAAGTTGGAGGTGCCTACCCTAAAATATATAGATATTGAATTACCTCCCCATTTTATAAGGTGACAGAATAAGAGTAGTTTTTTTCTCAATAAAGGGGTGAAATATTTATGTGTACTAGAAGAGTCAAATGGTATTGGATTTCAGCCACTCAACATTCGTATTTCATCATGACATCTGTCCAGTTCTGGTAAAGGTAATTGATTAATGTTGTCTAAGGTGTCAAATACAGATTTGTCGAACGTTTAACACGTCTATTTAATAACTACGTTTTATTTATATATTGAGTTCATTTTAGAACGTACTTTAAATAAAACACTTTTCTCTAGTTAGTATTATACTTACTATAGGGACATAGTGAGTATAATACTAACTAGTGTTAGTGGTTAGTAATAGTGATGGTAAAATTTGTTCAGGAGATATTGTCATGCAATAGCCAACTCTGGGTGAATTCTCTAGTGTAAAGTAAGTGGAGTACCAATCTTAAATGTTAACTCAACCATCCTAAAAACAAATTGATTGAATAGGTTACATGAAAATACATAACCATTGTATTCTAGTCCAGATTTACGTGATATTACAAGTTTCAATAAAAATGTTTAACTTTAAATGGCTCTTTCGTTCTAGTTTTAAGATCATTACGGATCCCATAGAAATACCTTGACATTCTGACATTATATACAAACCAATTTGGAATGAGTCCAAAATAATAAAATGGCGCACCTGTACAATCTTACTTGGAGGGTATTGTATTTCTCTCATTACCATTAAAGTTTCATTTAGAGAAATAATGTTTTCAAAACAGTTTCATTAAAGTCCTTTGTTGCCTTCTCGATAAACGATAAATGTATTATATGACAGAAAATCAATAATTTTATAAGTAGTATTACATTTCCAAATATTTAATAACTCGTTAACTGTAAACAAAATATGTATATTTTGATTGATTTCGTTCGAAAGTTTTCATAACTCGGATCAAAATTTAGTAACTTGTCAAAATCTTGTATTTTCACAGTCTTCATATCTAAGTAGACAATCTAATAAGGAAACTTGATACTATATATGTTATATATGTTAAACGAATTCTATTAGCAACAGCGGCTAGTATAGTATACCAGTATGTGTATATGGAAAACACTAAGCTAGTTTATAACTATCAATATATAAGCAAAAACACCTTCTGATAGATTCAGAGACACCCATATCCACATTAACAGCAAGTCTCAAAAATTCTCACTAAGATGCATTTGTGATTAAGCCAATTCCATTTCAAAAAAATAGGTAGTTTAAAGGTTTGTTACAAATGAAACAACTAATAGACTGATAAATTTGTTTATTGCATACTTTAAATAAAGTTTCTATACTTTGCAGACATATATATCTGATACATCTATGTGAACAAGTATTCATCATCTAAGTTAAAACATTGAAAGTTCAAGGCATCTACTTCATCTAAAGAACAGTTTTGATTTGTACTTTACCTACATATAATGTTAAAAAGCAGTAAGCCTAATATACTTTTATGAGATATTTTTTAACTCAAATAGACTATATTTCATCTATTACAGTAAAATACTTAATCGATAGTATCTAAGGTAAATAAACCACTTTAATTCCATAACAGTAATATACATTTAAACAATTTATTCATTTAGATCATTTACTAAAGGAAATCCAGAACAGTTGAATTAATTTATTTTTAAAATCATAAAATATTAGCTATGACTAGTTTAACATATAAATATTAATATTTATATAATACTGTGATGCTTTACTTTGAATGTACGTTTTAATACATGTTTAAATACAATAAAAACTTGTCAGCGTTTTAATGAGCAGACATTTCTTGGTTTGTGATATTAACTTTTAGAAGTATCTGACTTGTTGCACCGCCGGAGTCCACTGGAAGCCTGTAAAATGAAACGAAATATTTTTATACGTTTAATGCATTTAAGTAAATTTTTAGCATTTAGTAGAGTAATTTAGGGAATTATGAATATCACTAGGCATTTAATCTGTGGAAGTGCTTTTAGATTTGTACAATCAACCAAGCGTAAAAAAATATGCAGAAAATAAACAGTATTAACTGCAGGTACATCTGCAATTTTAGAGAGTTAGGTATCTTGTATTGATAAATAACTCTCTAGCCAATCCGTGAATTACACATTAGTATGTGCATAATATAAATTAGTAACTATGGAATACTGTTTTTTAATGATTTTGTGTCTTTTGTGTACAAGTTTTAACATATTTTAAAATTTGTTAAAAAAACTAGAACTAATTATGCCAACAGTAATATTTAAACAATGTCATTTCCGAAGACTTATGTACCCTGAGAGTGAAAAAAAGGCAGATTTTTGGCTAGCTGTAACACACAGTAATTAGAAAGGATACAAGTATAATTGCCTAAACGTTTATCCTTTCTACTGATTTTATATTCCACGCTTTGCATGGCCTTCTATATCATACCACTTAACTGAACTTTTTTTGTAAATCCGGTATCTGTTGTGAGTACAGCGTTAATTCAAATCAACGCAAAATTTAAAAGAGACTGTACGTTCTGACTACAGCCCGTGTGTGCTTGAGTAAAAATTATAAATTTTCAAAGCACTCTATTAAAAACATTATGTACGCTGTAACGTGAAAATAAAAATCAAAAAACCAAATGTGGAATGGTTGTGGATTAGGGACCCATAGACTGGTTTTTGTATCTAAATTGTATATTTAGTTTTCTTTTAATTAAATATTTACCTAACGCTTTCTGCGTATTGTTACGTCAGAAGTCATTGAAAACAATGAAAAATGACAGGAAAATGAAGGGCTGTCACCGTTCAAAAGAAGTAAGATATTATGTTGTATAACAATGTGCAAGATAGGATTATATAAGTCGTGGACGGAATGCAAAGGTTAACAGAATGTAGCAAATAAATTTGTGAAGAGATAGATTTAAATAATTATTAGAAATAATGTCACCGTAGGTACCAGTAAGGTAATCGAAACCCATTTAAGGTAGCGCAAACCATAAAGGCTACTCATTTTTAACGTTTCAACAAAAATCTTTGGTGTGAATAATAAAGCGTACCCACCTCGTTTGCCGATGTCGTTCAAGAAGTTCCTGTTGGCTGCAGCGCGGAGTGCCTGTGTCTTCCTCTCCTTCTCGAGGCTGAGCTTCTGGCGGAGTACAGACATCGGCAGGTCGATGGACAGGGATGGCATGCGTCGCTTCACCCGCCCGCTTGCACTCTTCGCGCACCACACGTTACACTCATATTAGAACTTCCAATGACCAACTCAATAGAATAGTTGACAATAGGATGTTTTTTCATTTGCGCAGTTTGTATTTCCAGAAAACTGGATTGAAATTGGGGTATGTTTGGCACTTTTTTAAGTTTTTGAGCTAATCTCTTCAATTTTCAAATTTATGTCTGTCTAAATCTTTTAAAAGAACTTTGACTTTGACAAGTAGGTACCTACATAATAATATATATTTTTGTAACATAGTATAGGTTCAATATATCTTTTTTTATTAGAGCCTGTCAGCCAGTGATAATTCAAAATAGTGTACAACTAAATTTAGGAAGGGGAAAGGGAAGGCGAAGATTGGCATCAAATGCCAAAAGATTAGCTTTGATTCTTGGCCATTCAGGAGAGTTGCTTCTAGCTAAGAATGGTACCGATATGCCTTTTTTGAGAGTCGAACAAATATGTAGGTTTAAGTTAACTCATCATAATTTATTTCTGTCTTTGAATTTCGAATCAGTGACTTATGAACTAATTTTGTAAGTAATCATAGTGAACTTAAAGTTAAAGATCCGTTTTTAAAATAATTCAATAGTGCACACTATTAAAAGTTAAAATATTAATACCTAATATGTAGATTTTAAAATTGAGTAGTTTTTGAAGTAGAAAATTACCTAATAGTTTTACAATTGTCCACTAAAAGTAGTTATTCTTTATTTGTTATCTACTAATGCGAACCTAATACAACTTTGCGAGTTGCACAAAGGTAGGTAGGTGTGACTGATCTTCTGATGCCCACTTTAGGTAGACTAAATAATAAAGATTAAAAATACAACGTCTTAAAAATTATTTTTATTTTGCCCAAAATACAGGTATTTTTTGTTAACAAGGGTACTTAGTTTTGTATGTATAAATCTATAATGGAAGCGCATTACTAATATTTGGTTAGTATTCAATCACAGGGTAGTCTTAAGGCTGCTACTTTTCTTCCAGCTCTTCAGTTTTGGCTACTCCAGGATTCTAAAACATAAAAAAGGAATATACATTACACAAAAACATTTCTAACCCATTTTCTGCATGCATGTCATGCACTGCTTTGATATACATATTTAACAGTACAAAACAATCAATCAAGAAAAATGGAATTAACAAATAAAAAAAATGTTGTGAGCGGTAATGACACTTTTAAATGCAATTTAATTTTCTTAGTTAGAAGGTTTCATTACAGTGTTTTTCTAATACACAGTTTAAGTCAAGCTCAACATTAAAAAAAAAATTGTTCAATTATTTTGCAAAATTCTATACTTTCAGGTTCTCTAATTACACTACTTTATTAACTACAATATAATATATTGTCAACGTATTTAAATATAGAATTTCTACTGTAACTACATATTCAATCGTGCATATTTCATAATTCAAAAGAAAAAAATACTGGACGAATAACTTTATATGCTGACCTCGTTTTCCGACGCGGTCAAGGAAGTTCCTATTCTTCTGCGCGATCTTTTCCATATAATTGTTGAGTGCTCCTCGCTGCAAGATTTCGACTGCTGGGTTCACCGAGAATGAGCGTCGTGGACGCATATCCAGCTCCGTACTTGCCACCTTCATTATACACTTAGACTTTTATCTTCTATACACTAAGCTCGACACAAGCCATTATAATAATTAAAGCGTTTTTGGCTAAAGCTTAATTTGTGAGTGATATGGAATCTCTTACAGCTGAATGGTTGGCATGGCATTATAAAATATATGACAATATGTTTCTTTTTATTGTTTTAAATAAAGCTTGTATGATTATGAGAAGATAATATATCTAAAAAGAAAGGACACTACATTTAGAAGTAGCACATACGTATAAAATAGAAGTTTAATGTAAGAAATGAATAAAACTACCGTGGAATTAAAATATTAAAATTATTGGCCATAATTCACTATAAATAATTAATCGTCACGGGTAATTACCGCTACCGGATGATTGACAATGATTGTAATGAAATTAAAGTCAAATGGAATGTACACTATGCATTATATTATATTCGAACTGCGACAAATTTAATAATAATAAAAATAAGCATTTATTTTTCGTTCTTTTTGCAGACGTAGTTCTTTTGATACGTGATTATAAATTTCTGATGAACCTGTATCACGACAAAATTCACTCGACTAAGTCTAATTAGCTCTTAAAGTTCTAGACATCTCATTATAAGGTCCTTGATTAAGTTGAAGTAACTTTAATTATTTCTCATATTGTTTATTAAAAGAACGCACTAATTTGGATGCGTTTCAGGGGACTTCAAAAAAAGGAAGAGTCACAATGTATTTGGTTCTATCAGAATTCTGCCATTTCTGAATCGATTCAGAATTTCCTTTTTATTTAGAAGGAAAAAAAAGCCGTGTGGTGTCGTGGGACACCCGATAGGAACGAAGTTGTGACGATCTAGTAAAACTGATTTGACACGATTTTAATTACAACGCCATCTATGAAAGCGGCTATTACCTACATATTAAAAACAATTAAAACAATTTATACATTGGTAAAATCTCCTTGCGAAATGATTTCCTATCTATTCGATAGATCTAGATCTGACAAGATGACACGAAAATAAAGAGCAAAAAGCCAACATCACGTGGTATTCAAAGGCGGTCACCCATCCCAGTGCTAACCACGCCCGATGTTGCTTAACTTCGGTTATCGGACGAGAACCTTTATATTCAACATGGTATGGACGTTGGCGAACGTTAAAGCAAATTTAATGTATGGTATCCACAGTTAGACGTCAATTTATATTAAAAGTGTCGTTCCAAATTTTCGTATAAATTTTTTCCGTCTAGCCCCCTTTCACAACGCGCGATAAGGAACTTCGTTCCAAAAATCCACTTCTAAGGGTGAAACATTAAGCAATAGAGAAAACAGAATCACGATGTAGGAGCATTGAAGTCAGTGATACTTGTTGTAGAAAAGTTGATTATGTTTCTATAGATCGATATGATATCAAATATGATGATTTACAGATCTTCAGAATTTTAAGATTCTTTTAAAACATTTTTTTCTTCTGTGCGGGAAACGCCTAAGAATTCACCAAACGGTGGTTATGTTGGATTCTTATAAAACCTGACATCATCATCATATTGGTTTTGTCTGCAGCTATAAATATTAAATAACTCTAACACCTAGCTAAAAGGTGTCTCAGTAAGAGTGCACTTTTTAAATTTAGAATCATATTTTTCTTTATTTAGAATGCAAATTTGAAGAAACTGGGATAATAAGAGTCCTTTGCGTCAACGTACCGGTCGGTCTCTTGAAAACATTGCTACTGTAAACGAGAGTGTCGCCGAAAACCCGAATACATCAATTCGGCATCGTTCTCAACAACTTCAAGTTTCACGAAACACTACGCAGCGAATTTTGTCATAAGACCTTTATGCATACAAGACTCAGCTAACTCAGGAGCTCAAATCAGCATACCATGGAAAGCGCAGACAATTCGTTCAATGGGTAATGGAGCAAAGTGAAGTCGATGCCAATTTTTCGAAATATTCGCATTTCCAATACACAAAATTGACGAATTTGGGTCTCAGAAAATCCACATGCAGTCCATGAGAAACAAATGTACCCACAACTGTCTGGTGCGGATTTTGGTCAGGCGCCCTGATTGGGCCTTACTTTTTTGAAGATGAAGGTGACTGTGAACAGCATTCGTTACAGGAATATGATAACGGAGTTCTTTTGGCCTCAACTGGATGGCATGGATCTGGACAACATATTGTTTCAACAGGACTTATTGCATCAACGATTTCCAGAACACATTATCTCACGAAATTCTGATGTCAACTGGCCACCAAGATCGTGCGATTTCACGCCGTGCGATTTTGGGGTGGGATTTTCTGAAATATCGGGTTTATGCGAATAAACCAGAAACAATTCCTGAGCTCAAATCAGAGATCCATCCATCCACGTCATCGGTAAGATATAGCCCCATCTTTGTGTAAAAGTCATGGCCTGTCCTATCAGAGCCGTGGGGGCCACTTGCCGGGTATTTTATTCCATACTTAATCGGAACGTATCTTCTTTACAATCTAATAAAAATATCACAACTCTTTCATAAATTACGTGTTTTTATTTTAAAATGAAAAAGTGCACTCTTACTGAGACACATTTTACTAACTAGTTAGTATATTCAATATTTGAATAAAAAATATTGCTACCAAGTTTTAATACTAGGCACGCTCGATCAGGATAGGCTGCGATAGGATGGCGGCTTGGTAGCAAAGATGCGATCGGGCCGCAACATTATCATAAGGATTGGCCGATAGTTGTACTAATCGGTTTTGAAAATGAGAAATAATTCAAGTCTCAAGAAATTCTTCAGGAGGTTTTAGTAGAATTTTCTAAGATTAATTTAAAAACTATATAAATTCAAAATTCATCCGACCAGATTTATCAAACAACATCCTTATTTTTATGCAAGTGTTTAGACATGCTAACATACTCTTATTTAACTTTCATCCTTTAAACTACTACTACGTTACTCTTTTTTTTTACACAAATCAAGAAATATTTACATTTACATTTCTAAGTTTTCCAAGAGTCCTTTTCTTTAACTCTGTTGAGCTACGTAGTTCTGTTTTCTGTTTTTAATTTCGTTTAAACGAGCTCATTCATTTGAGCTTCTCCAAACTTAAATTAGTTGGGTTGGAGAGAACTTGAGGCGAGCAACACCAGGACCCCTCTTGGTTAATTGTTACATAAATTCATATCAGAACACAACTGCAGTCCCTTATACAAGTCACTGGTTTATTGCAAAATGAAAGAAACCCAAAGGAAAACGCATTTAAAATGACAACACTTCCATTTTATATTGTTTAGCTTAGTTTTACGAATTAAACATAAGATACAAAAGTTTCATGTTAACGTTTCAAAATGTGTGAACCATTTAAGATAATGCGCATGCTCCCACTTCAGTGCGTCTGTGTGCGTCATTTCTTTATGTACCTACATTATTCTAACTTTCAGTGATAATAGTTAATCTGGAATTAACTATTATCACTGAAAGTTGTTTTACTGTTTCAACTTTTATTTGTTGTTTGTTTTAGAATACACAAAAGCTGTAATCCAAAATATTCTAAATATAGTATAGTTTGACGTTTCATACTTTTCAAAACGTAACAACTTTGTATTGGCGTAACACACCCAATTTCCATAAACTTTTCCATAAAACCATGGAAATTGCATTGTAAAGCAATTTTTGTTTTATCGCAAGCTGATTCTTAATGACTAAATTAAAACTGAAATCTTTGAAACAAAGCGAAATAACTAATTTATACACAACAACACATGTTTTTTTTTAAAGGTTCTAGGTTCTTTACCGTAGTGTTGTGGCTCTTCAAATTCACTTGAATACGAATAATAGTTAAAGTGTACGAAAAATCGAATTCATTAATAACGCGTCAGTTTCAATCCAGGCGTCTTAGTGTCTTAAAGTTTAATAATACTTGAAATTCATCTGACATCCAACGTCAACAAAAACGCAAAATTAAAATTAAAAGTATATTCAAACAAATATTTAAAATAAATATTTGTAGGCAAAAAAGTTCGTGTCAAGTCTAGGTCTAAGTATACTAAGATTTACTAGCAACACCTAAGATTTGCTATTACACGGTATTTTATGGTAACATACATAAATCTGTAAAACTGTAATCGATTTGTGCAAACTAAGAAATGATATCGATATCTCTTAAGAATCAGAATTTGTCATAATCGATTTCTTTGACCCCCATCGCTATACTTTAATCTGTCACAACTGTGAAACGGTACCTCTTAGATTAAATGGACTATAGTAAGACAAACCGCATATTTAAAAGATATGTTATTTACATTTTAAATTAAAAAGTGTACATTTTTTGGGTAAAATACCCAGTATCTCATTTTAAAGTAAAGACCCCGTATTTCGAATCCATATCTATGTATGGAATATTTAATTGAAATTGAAATTATGCAAATAATCATTATGTGACGTATACTACTATTGAAATACAATAAAAGAAGTCGAAAATATGATGAGAAGCTAAATGAACACGATTTTAACAATTAAATTACAGAACAACTACGTAACGAAGCGATTGCCAGTTAATAATACTTAAAAATGTTTTTAAATATTGTTATCGGGAGAGAAAAAGTATGATAAAAATTGAAATAATTGGAAATAGGTGATAATATATAGGTATGTCTAAATATAAACGTAAAAAGTTAGGTGAAATCTAAATCTAATGTAAATAAAAGTAGAGGCAGCTACAAAATACTTATTTTGTAAGTATGATCTCAAACTTACTAAATAAATTGTAAAGACTTGATGCGGACAGTTAATAAGAAAAATTATGAAAGTGAATATGACAGGCCAGAGATAACATTCTTGAAACGCTATTTACACATCCGAATTTATACAATACCTACGAACTTAACCCAGTTTACAGATCAAGCTTTAATCATTCTTCTGAGCCAGGTCGAGACGGGCATGCTTGTCAGAAGTGACCACGAAATAAAGGACAGAAGCCAAAACAGATAATATGTCGAAATAACTGTCTGATGAACACAATCATTTATTCTGCATCTGCCTGCATTTGCGTTTAATATTTGTATATTTAGAAACATGTAAGTGGGTTTTACAGCAGTCTGGTTACCATGGTACAGGCCCTGCCTAACTAGGGATTCGACTGTAGTGTGTGAGATTATTTATTATTATATAATTCATAAGTTTTGAGTATTTGAAGATATAGTACGATGTTTTTTTAAAAAGGGAGGATGTTGAACCACGTTTTGTACTCCAAACCAACCAACAAAAGGACTGCTATTTTTATACTACGGTCCCTAATGCTAAAAAGTTTTTTTTTTTACTTTCTACTTCCGTCGCTTTCATAATAATTTCAAAGTACACATACAAATCACTATTACAGAAACATCTTCTAAAACTTTGGCACAACTTCGGTAATTTCTACAAAAAATAAAGAATACTTAAAATATTGCGTAAAAGCAAGCGGTTTTGAACTAAAGCTAGTCTTACTATATTCCTGGTATGTAAGTTATTTTAACAATGCTGTTTTATTACTACGGTAAGGCCTTTCTCACATTGCACCTGTTGTAGATTGGTAGAGTTTACACCTCGTGTCTTCTTCATGTTTGTGTGAGCAATCAATGATTAAACGTCCTACAAGGGCGCCTAGTTACTAAAATATGAATGTTTTAGAATATTTGGACGACTACGATAGCTTTTATTACCTTGTTCTCTAAACTTCTAACAACAACATCTGTGTAGCAAGCTAGACAAAGAGCGATATAACTTTGTTGACATTTCCCACAGCGAATATTATCACACCACAGTGAAAATTTGTTAACTAATGTCTTTTTTTCTAATATAAAAACATATTTTGATTAGAATTTTCCATGCCGTTTATATTTCGGATTCCGTTCGTTCGAAATAAAAAACGTTATAAGATCACTCGTGCGTCTGTATCCGTCTAATAGGCAGGCAATATCCTCGGGATCTACTAGACAGATTAATTTGAAATTTGGTACATACGTCAATATCTTTTTCTCGATCGTGGATATGTAACGTAAATAAATCCTGGTCATTATGGTGACTCTCATGATCAAAATTGATTTACGCGTCATTTTAAAACCTCCTTTCTAAGGAGAGGCCTATGTCCAGCAGTGGACTATTAAAGGCTGTTGATGTGATGTGTGACTTGTCAAATTTGGTGTGAGCTTCAAATGTTTCTTTCACAATTCATCATTTTAAAGTCATTTTACAAGACAAATTTAAAGTTGATTGCCTTAATTTTTTATTTATTATATTATTAATTTCTTGCATTACTTAAATTGTTACTGCAGGATACGTGTATCTTGCGTGTTCTTGAAATCTAACGGAAGCCTCTCCGAGCGAATCTATTCGCATTTGACCGGTAAATTTTGTACTTTTTCCTTTATTCATTCTAAATAAGATTATCAACTGCAAACGGTCGTGACTGGTCTCTAATTGTATTTTTATTAGTTTCACTTTCTTAAGAAATCTTTTTGTAAAAAGAATTTAACCCCTTTGATGACGAAAAAGTAATTGACGATAGAGTGACATTGAAATTTAATTAATTTTCGTTAGGTTGAAGCCCATTTAAATATTAAAAATAGATAGATAATATTTCGTCTCATAAAATATTAATTTGAATAAATGATTAGTCTTATTATTATTAGATTGGATTTCATTAATATTAAGAACTCCTGACGTTTTTATAACCGACTCTCGATCTTTTATGTATGTTCTCCGATTACTCAAAAATTCTATCTTTGTTTGAAAGAGGGTCAATCGGATGGATTCTTCAAAAAGTATAGTCTGCCACAGAGTCACTCTCATAACGATTTAGGTAATTTTTATAGTAACTCGTTAATTCACTTTTCTTTAGAGCATTTGCCTAAAGTAAAACCGACGGTAAAGACCTCCATCCGGACTACTCAACGAAAAGTATTACATTTAGTTGTGATTCGATTACTCCATTCCACTTAAATATGAAGGAAATTTTAAGTTAATTAGGCGCATTAGGTCGTAACCACTTCACTGCTTATTATAACCATTAATCCGTGCAACCAATAGTAAAACAAACGTGATTTAAAAGTTATAAGTTCACAAAAAGCTCCTTTTCAAAATAACTCTCAACAACCCAATAAAAGTAGGCCAAAAAATACCTTGCCTTAGTAACTTAAACTATTTAGAGTCACAATAATTTTGTTCAACTTAGAGTTAATACAAAGGTCGCTTTATGATTTCTACTCTTTGGCATACCGCGCTTATGTACGCAATACAAAGATATATCAAAACCACGGAGTGTTCGGAAACGCTCTTAAGTTCGTTTCCAGGGCTCGAAACATAAGAGTGTGCATATGAAATACCACCGTAACAAAATAAAATAGATTTAATATTATATTAGTGTAAACCAAACTGTAATTTATTACTCTGTATAGTTCTATATGTAAGTATAATTTCTTTAATCGCCACATTAAGGGAATCTATCTCTTGCTCCTGCATAGAAGCTGTAAAAGTGAAAAATAGCTCTCAAGCAGCGGTGAAGATGCGAATATTTTGTAAATCTATGAAGTTTCACTATAAGTTTTAGCTTAGCTAAGTTACTAAGCTGACACTTACAGCAATATATCTTAATATTAAATAAATATCACGAGGCATAAAGTTGTGCAGTTAAATTATAGCGATACTTGGTATATTCTGATTTATGGTTGAGTATTAGTATATAAAGTAATTTATTGATTCAAAATAAGGCACATCACGCTGGGTGTCAGACATACATAAAAGATACAGTACATTAGAATTAGAAAAGCACATGTTGTATACGACAAAATTCAAATGTATTTTATCATGCTTGTAAGTATTATATTGTGACAACACATAAGAAGTCGAATTCCCCATAAATTGTTCTGTTGCTGCTGGTAAGTGGAATTATTAAAAAAACAGAGAATGATAACAAGCCATTGACATCGTGTTTGTTGCAAGAATCCATATGCACTTAAAACATTTACCATCCGAGGATTATTATGTAAAACAGTCGATAGAGTCTAATACCCTGAACTTACTTTTATTTATTATGATAGTATCAAGTATTTTATAAGTTTTGATTTTAATCAAACCAAACAGCACTCAAAAGGAGTTTTAATTTTTACGTTACTCCTTTGTTTTATACAGAGATTATTTTCAGTAGAATATAAGTTTATATGTATGTCTGAACCTGCTATTGATATTATATATGCTAAACAATTTACCTGTGAGTCGCGGGGCACTTCAGCGAGAAGGTACAGCCAGGGTGAGGCAGCGCCGTAGCGCCCGCCCATCGGAGACACATAGCCGAGGCTTTCCTGCACAAAAAAAAATACTTCTTAAATGCTATTACTATAACGAGGCTAGGAAGATAGGCATATCAGGACTCTGAATAACTCACCGTACGGTTTTTAGTCTAATGCAACGTGCCTATTCAGTGTATCAACGAATTTTCTGCTATTTATATATTGTTACAATCACATTAACTACGTTGAAAAAATTCAACAGTTGGCATATTACGAATAATATGTCAACTGTTGAATTTTAATATATAATTCAAGTGGTTTACTTTAATAATAATTCTTTTCACTTCTGTAATCTTGTACCTTATACCCTAAAACTAACTAAAACACTAGAGAATATACTCTTCAATAAAACAATACTCTTCAAGAAATTAGTATTTTATTTTCTTACTATAAATTAACTTTCTTTTTTTTTAAAGGGCCCTGATCACTTATTTTCAGATTAATTTCAATAATTTGAATCGTGTTCATTGACACAGAACTTACGAGGTTGACAAATAGGTATGAGAATTCGGTATTTGGAATGTATATATATTGTAGATTCACAATACTCAACAAAAGATTTTTTACTAAAACAATGTTTAACAGCTACCAAATGTTAATGTTAAAATAAAAAATCTTCCAAACACCAACATGGAATGCCCACGAACTTGGAACGTTATTCTATTCTGTAGTCAAACAAGCTTTCCAAAGACTTATTGACATAATCGAATATCCAATGCAACTTTAATGTATCACATCAACAGCCTTTACTAGTCCACTGCTGGTCATAGGCATCTCCTTAGTAAGTAATTAATTCCTTTAATGTATATTTCATTTGTATTCACATTCTTTTCCTACGGATTCACCAATTTTCCGCCTCGCGAACACAGCATAAAATAAATTATAAATAATCCGATGAACTTTAGTTTGCCTTGCAGTTCGTAGGAAAGTGTGTTTTATAATCACGTAAAATATCAAAGGTAATGGAGTCGTAAAAATGGTACGTCACGTAACTCTTGGTTATAAAATAATAAAAAGAAACCTAAAGTATCACAACTGTTTTAGGTATAAAACAATTGCGCTTAAGCTCAAACAAAACTAATGCAACTTTGTTTTCACTTCAAAACTTAATTGAAGTATCTAGATACTTATTTAGTCTCATTTTGATGTGGTTGTGTGTTATTAATCGAAGCTAAGTAGCTGTATGAAACAGACAGGTGTTCGCTTTATTTAGGGGAATTATTTGCCCTAAGCTATTTCGCGTATTGAATTTTAGAAGCACCTGCTTGTTTTCAAAAGAACAGCATTCTGTCGTAACATGTAAAGCAAACGATTTTACTCGTTTATAATAACAATTATTATTGAACAAATGCCTGAACCCAGTTAATCCCAGTTCTTTTATTTATAAAAAAATTGCTTGACTCTACTCAAGAAAACAATACTCTTATAGTTGTTTATTACGTATTTCATTTTAGTTAATATACATGTATTAGGTACTTACGTCGTCGGGTGTGGGAGAATCCATTTGAACCATATCAAGGGGCGATAGAGCATCGGATGCGGGCGCTGCTGCTACTCCAACACCACCAGCCACCACCACGGTGCACCAAAGAGCCCACCACATCTAGGACAGTTTTTATTTTTAGTATGAATTCTTATGAATTAGGGGGTCACAACTTGGGGAAATGGACCTTTCTCAATATGAAATTATTTATTTATTTAATTCTTTTTGCACAAACAACAAATCATTGTACAATGGCGGACTTAATGCCCAAGGCATTTTCTCCCAGTCTACCTTTGGGTGGTGGGGAAATGTCTGAGTAGGTGCATGAAATTAAATTTAGGTTACATACATACTGAGATACACATACACATATATATATACTTGCTGAGTTACATACATACACTACAGTTACATACATACATACATTACATACATACATATAGTACATACATACAAATTATAACTCTTGTGACTCTGACTGAGACATTAAAGCCGAAAAAAAAAACCGATTTACACCGAGATTCCGACCTCTTCATACATATGTGGCGAATATTAATATTTAAATGACGCTGTGGCATCAGCGATCAGTTTCTCTCTGACTTTGATTATAGCTTACTCCGCCTCGTGCTGTGCATTTTTGGTATGTACTCTCATAAATATTCAAGAGATCGCATTTATTCCCGCCACGCTTCACACCAATGAAGCCGTTTAGTTTTTAAAGTTACTTTCTTCTTCAACCTTCTTCCTCAACTACATTACGTTTTACATTAGTGGTATTGCAGTTGTTTACTAAATATGTTTAAAAAAATACTGTATTGTTTATTTTATTTTATTATATTTAAAACTTTTAAATGATTAACCTTCCCGCACATAAGAAAAAAACATTTCCTTTATTTATCTTACTTTCGGTGGAGTCATAATGTAAAACCTATTTAGCTGCTGCATCACTGTAGGTATGTTTTTATTAGAATATTTAATCTAAAGCTATGAAGGCATCCCTGCAAACATCTTTTGTCGTGAGGTTAAGCATTTATCGGCAGTGCCATAATAATTTACGCATTACCTATACGTAATTGATGTTATGTTTTTCAATTTATTTCAATAAAGCAAAGCAAATATTAATATTTAGTGACATGTTTCTCACGCATATTGTTGTTTTGCGTTAATGACGATTATTGTACACGATCTACATCTATCTTGGTACAGCGTTACTGTAACTGATGTTCACTTGATTATTTGAGAATATAATTTTCTGACGCGATATTTTTTGACATTAACAGTCATGAAATTAACAAATTTTTTGCACGTTGTTGTTTTACTGAAGAATTGCTAGTTTATGTATAAAAATATTTCAGAGGTAATAAACTTTTGACGGCGCTTTCCTAAAGACTCGAATGGAATTCAAGACATTCATTTGTTGAAGAAAATACAAGCTTTCAAAAGTTTAATTCATAAATTGTTTCTGGTGGAGTATTTTCATGGCATTTTAGTTTATATCGAGGTAAGGAACGTAGACTTTCTATATAAAGTAAATGCATATTAAATATTTTAAAGCTTTAATTTAAAATAGGAGACGTGCACGTTTCTTATTCAAAAAATATTTAATATTTATTGAATGAGAAATCATATAAAAGATATATTTACGTGTGAAATTAAATTGATATTACAATACTTTGACGAAGACAACAAAATCACAAAGTTGATTATCATCTATGAGAGTAAATAATATATTGTACATTTTTTGTCATATATCTATCTCCACATTTAGCTGTTTTTTTTTTTTCTAGATGTTTCGCACAAAGTAAAATATCAGCGAACTTGTTAATTTTGTACACTATAGAGTTGACCACAAAATCCATGAGGACCTTAAACCCCATTAACAAAATAACATTTAAATCAACTTAAAATGTATAAAAGTAGTAAAAAAACCAATAATGTATAAATGTAAGATAAAAATATGCTTTATACAGATCTGGCGACATGGATGTACAAATTGTTGACGTCTATTATGCCAGGTATATATTAACTTCTCTTCAAGTTTTTTAGAGGAATAAAACCATGAATGAACAAAAAACAAAAAGTGCAGTCTAGTCGTTTCGTTTGAAAAAAAAAAACATTTTTTGCAAGAAGTTTATATTCTACCGATTGCAAAGCTGCGAATGTGTCGTGACTTATCGGCTTTGCGATGCGCGTCGGATATTTGTCATCCACGAGATAAGCTCATCCGCCAGTCTCTTATTAAAAGGTCCATTTACTGAATAGATACAGATTCAGATAAAAAATACAGGAGAAAACATCTTGAAAGTTGAGATAGCTTTGATTAAAGACTAAAATTAAAGACTTAGTTAGTAACATTATTATTTTTAACACGCAAAAAATTAGTATCTATTAAAAACCCTTTAAAAACAATTACTGTTAAAGAAGTTAAAAAAGATCACATGAAAATAGTAGCTGAGGAAGAAGACTTACCTTTTACCCTACAAATGTAATTGAAAAGGATGACAAACTGAACGATTTGCACGATTTTAAAAAAAAACTCATGAGCATGAAATCTCTTACAATGTTTAAACGTATCTCATTTGACTACAACTTATACGATCGTAGTAACATAGCCATGTCATGACCATGGCCCTTCAACGAACAATGTGAATTTTCGAGTGTTTTACTTTTTATTTCGAATAATCGTTTATTACGAAATATGTAAACGCCATGTGGGATTCATAAAACGATTCGAAATAAAAGTAGATACAATAGTAAACTTGGAACCGCAGATGACGTAAGACAAGGAAAGTATAAAAATATGTACGTCAGAGGATTCCTTACTTAGAGTGCAAATGACAGCGGCTTTAAATAAATGCTTTCAAAAGAAAACAAAGACTTAAACAATACCTCAGCTTCTATTTAACTTTAAATTCCAAAATAATCTTAAGATTTTAAGCCCCACAACGAGATTAGGAAACGGTACAAGCCATTTGGCGAAGCTGTTTACCACAATCGTGACGTGAATGAAACAGAGGGCTCTGTTTTGGGTACATGTAATTTGTCATTGGGCCTGTTCAGCCTCGATTCAGACAAGTCTCTAACTTGTTATTTACGTAGGATCAGTCTCAACAACTCGACAAACTACTGTGTTTATGGTTGGACCACCTGTTTCTGCGCGATAGACACTCGGAACATCGGTGTCCAATATAATTAGTGTTTATTTTAAACAAGACCATGAACAAACCACAAAGTGGGTTATTAAGCAACAAACACATACATATTAATATATTAATAACTAGACATAATAACTAGATCATATTGATATCTACATATTTAGATTTGGCTTACGGTAAGGTAAATTCAAAACTCATTTATAGTCACGTAACGCGTCTTAGAGTCAATGGCAGCAGAAATGGCAACTACAGATACATATCATCTAAAGAGTACCCACTAAATCAATCAACTCAGGTGCTTGGCTGATCGATTTTTAAATAATAATATATAATCAATTTCTCACAAAATTTAGTACAGATAATTTTAAGAAGAAGAATATATTACATCTTTTTTGAAAATGGTGCAGAGTGCTGTAATAAAAGGCTATCTATTGCGTAAGCAAAGAGTATCAAAACAAACAGCAGAAATAAAATTAACAAAACAACCGTTTGGTAACTCCTAAGTTAAATATTGTACAAAGTATCCACAAAGTAATGCATCCGAACAATTTCATAATAATTTCCCTTTTATCAGACTTCTTGTTGCAGAGTTTATTTTTGCCTGTTACACAACGGTAATTCCTTTTTAGTGTCTAGTAGGCTTAGTACGAAATCTTATTCGGAACGTTCCAAAGATTTTACGTGTATATAGAAAATCTCAGGTATAAGAAATCCGAAAATATAGTCACATTTACTGGCTTCTTCTTTATGAAAACCAGGAATTCGGAATACCTTGGAATAGTATAAATAAACATAAAGAGTTTCTTGACTGCATACTGCTAATGTACCATACAGGATTTTTTTAATTCATCAAAAATTAAGTTGAATGTCATTTGTTTTCTTTTTTTGTCAAATATCAATTAAATAGCAATCAGTCCCGATTTAAATTTACTTTCTTTCTATGAGTCGTCTGGCAACGATGCATTTCCAAAGAACTAGTATTAGGCCACCAGCCATAAAAGAAACTAGCCAAAATCCTTTGCAATGTTACACATTGCTCCCACCTCAAGTATATTTGGAAGAAAGGCAAATGATGATGATAATGGTAGTGTCGTGCTGCAGTTAAACTAAACGAACCTGTAAACATGAACTTAAAATCTGTACCTCTTTCTATCCATAAAGAGTCTATGTTTCGCTAAAGATGTTTAGTTAAAAACGAATTAAAAATAACAAATTCTAATATTGAAATTAAAATGACTAATAAGTGAGTTAGTAGACAATTTCATACTTTTCCCTACTTTTTCTAAGTTTTGTATAAAAGCTTTGAAAATAAATTTTAAACGCACTGTACTGGGACGACTACAGAATGCAGTTATAAAAGTGTCTATATGCAAAATATTTGCCGTTCCACGGCAATAAAACTTATCATCTAACCAAACACATACAAAGGCCGCATTAAATTTTTAGGTCCCGCCTTAGACGAACAAGATAATTACTTCTAGAGATAAAGGTAAACTGGTTTTGTTTTTGTTCTACGACACGAAAGATACAGAAAGTCTTTTATAATAACAACTGATAATGATGAAAAGTTAGATTGTAATATACATTGCCTTGTCTGACACATGAAATTTGATCAACTATGATAAATTATAACACAAATGATAAAGCGAAAAGAGACTCATACGATTTAAATGACAAATCAGACAAGTCATAACGTTATTGCATGTTAATGTGCTTTATTATGAGGTGTTAGTGTTTGGTTATATAAGGCACATGCCGGTGATAATGACATATTTGAATTTACAGTCATCATATTTTATTTATATACCTACATATTATTTTATAAAAATATTAACTTGGTTTACTTACGGTCGCAGTCATAAGTCCAGTAGCACTTTTACAAAGTTATAACATTATAACTAGTTGGACTTAGAAGGTTATTCTTCTTATCCGTATTATTCCTATTAACGTATATCACACATACAC